GCACTTGGACATGTTGTGATTTCAATTATATTTCGATTAATTGTGCAGCCCTGTGGAAATCAGGTATGGCCCAGTGCAATATTCAAATCGCAGGAGCTGCAATGTTATTGATAAAGATAAAATGTGTCACATTGTTGTGCAGTGTTAGCACCATAAGCGCCGCAGCCTACAAATCATATTCTCCAGAAATAAAGGAAGAAGACCAAACAAAAATCACATCATCATTTAAAATAATTTTTAAAATTAAATGGAAAAACAACCATTCCGACTGGAATCACAATCGCTATATCAAAATAATCACAATATGATTTTTTTGCATATCACGCAGCCCTAGTTTAATCTTAATAAAAGTAAAGCAAATAAACCCTTGAGTCTCTTACCTGTGTCTCTACACTTGTCTATAGAGATGATAAAGACGGAAACAGCTCCATTGTGATAAACTAGGTACACTTAACGTTTGTTGTCAACATTAAGAATCATCCACAAACAATCTGCCCTTGGCCCTGTCCAACCCTATCTCATAGACATGACATTCATACACAACTAATCTGCAGCAACCAGTTTAAATCATTTTCTTTTAATGTAATGAGGAAATTCATGGTTCTGTTCAGACTCTCGCAGCTCTGGATTCAGTGCAGAGAAAGATCCTGGTCTGGTTTCATAAAGAAAAGGTTCACAGTGACTTCAGACATTTAATCTAAGCCTCCATCTTTCACTGACCTGAACCAAAGAGCTGCTGTTGTCTAAACCACAGACAGCACTCTGGATGTGAACCTGGTCTCTGGATCTGTACACCTGCCATCCACCCCAACCACCATGTGCATTTTCAAATCGAGTGAGAGAAGAATTTTCCTAGAGTGCATGGAGCTATGGTTGTGGCCATGTTTCAGGATGAGAACACGTTAACCTGATTACCATGATCGTAATGTGATTCCTTCACAGGGTAGATTCATACTTCAGTTTCCTATAACTGTCACAGGATGTTTACAAAGGGCAGAAAAGAGAAAGAAAACTGACTCTTTGCATTTTAAAGGAACATATTGATAATTTTGATAATTGATAATGAGTTGTCGCTTCATTTTCATGTTATTCTGATACAAAAACGAACAATACCCGTAACTGATAAGTTTCAAATGTAGCATGAAGATCTTCATATTATGTAAAACATGTAAAATCAGATGGAGTATATTACACACATGCCGTGACTTACACTGTCACACTGTTATGTTACTGATTCTTCATGATGAGTGCCTGACAGTTGCTGCATTATGTCAGCAGGGGAAACCATGGATGCACTGGCCTCTTCATCACTCTTCAGTCTCCTACTCTAGTTTCTGTTGCCCACTACTACAACTGGCTCCCAATTCATTGACCCCACTGGCCCTTATAGCCACCCAGTCAAGAGCACTTTGAGACCAATGATAGAGTTACAGTAGAAGTAATGAGATAGGACCCACGTCTGTTAATTTCACATGAGTCTCATTTATCTACTTACATTCTCAGTATAAGGTGAGGCTGTACAGGCTATAGTCATATGTTGCAGAAACATGTGTCTAAAACAATAAGTTTAAGAGCATATTTCCTCTGTTTGTAAAGCTCAGGAGGTTCTTACATGCCACACATATGCAGGTGCGACTAGTGCTAATACTTCTACCAACACTTTAGCTAGTCCTGTGCATTATTGCCATTGTGGTGGTGGCGTGGTTTTATGGATGGCAGACTTTGTGGGCAGGACAAAATCTGTTCCAGAGTGAATTATTTCAAACTGTTGATCGGACTGACATGAATGTTCATGGTCCTCAGAGGATGAATCCTAATGATAATGATTTCCTTCTGTCCTCTCAGTTTCTGATGTAGCTTTGACATAATGCTAACATAGCAAGTTCATATGTTAACTTTAGCATGTTAAGAAACTGTATAGCCTATATTTTATGCTAAATTGTACATTTAGGGTGTTAACAACTCACATTTGGAAATTAAATGATTAATCATTTTGAAATGAATGAATTAATATACTAAATGTTGTACCTACATTAGCATGTTGACATGTTGTTCAAAGTGATGTTGACACACAAACGTTAGCATGCTAAATGCTAAATATTACATGCTAAACATTATCATGTATTAGCATGTATGTTAGCATGCTAAGTGTAGACATTATAACATGCTAATGGTAGCATAGCACAGTAACATTAGCATGCTAATGTACTAAATATTACACGCTAAATATTATCATGTATACATGTATGTTAACATGCTAAGTGTAAATACTATAAGATGCTAATGCTAGCATAGCACAGTATTAATGACCTGTCTGATCCCAGTCTGGGAGGTCCAAAAGGATCTGGTACAAATCAAGTCCTGGTGTCTGTGGCTGACTGGTTTTATAAAAAAAAAACCCAAATATCTAAATACAGAAACATCCCAGACTGCATCCATCCTGTTTGTTTTGTTTTCCAAATTAAGTACAGCAATGCATACCTTAGAGATTTGGAGCTGATAAATAGTTTTATCCTAAAAATGTACAAAGAGCATAAACCTGTTTGATTCTGCCCACCCCTGGTATTTCTGTCCCTGTTAGCGGTACAGCTCTAAGTATAGAAAAGTTGTGATTCCATTTTTAATCCTTCCAGCAAATTTGGTTTCAGTGTGTAATGAAAATTTCAGCCTCACTGGATAATAGATTTTTCATCCTGTTTTATCCAAGATGGGACTGGGTTTAGATTTCTACCCAGTGTGCTCATTTTATTTGACGACTCTTCTACAGAAAGCTATCGTCGATAGGTGGTTCAATTAAAAAAAAGTCAGTATGGGTCTGAAAAGTCCTGAAATCTAGTGAAAAGGGTGCTAAGTTAGCAGCACTGCCTGTGAACAGCCCCTGCAGAGCATAACCAATGGGGAAACTTCAACACTCGGCCGATCAAGCAGACCAATCATGTAACTTCATCACTCAGTCAGTCAGCGAAAGACGTTTGTGTTTATGCGGCTGCCCCCTCTGTTGTGGTCCAGCCTAAAATATAGACCACTTTATCAACTTGTCTTTATTCCAAATAACAGCTGTAAGCAGTGTACACTATAAATATCTAAAGGTCAGTCAGAGCCCATACAGGTCAATGGACACTGGTTATATGTGCACATGAGGACAGTCTAGTGTCAGTGCGAGATAGCTGACTGACATTAGATACTTCAGAATGCATATTTATACTAAGAGGAAGTGCCAAGTCCAACAGAATAAGTAAGTAAGTAGTGTGTTTCTGGCTGACTGGTTTAACAGGAACAAAACCTGAAGACTTGAAGATGCTGATACCTCATCGTTACTGGTAATCTATTTCTGTTCATTTGTCCAAATAAACACAAAATATGATCAAATTCAAACTAGAGCCTCAATACAAACCTGACTGACCCAAAAAATGTAGCAAAAACTAAATTTTATGAACTAGGAGTTGTCTACAGCTTGATACAATTAATAAATTAGTCAATTAATCAGTTAGTCAATCAACAGAACAACAGCAAGAATGAGACAGAGCTGCAAAATGTTTCTCCAGCAGGTCACAGTCCTAGTCTGGGATGATCTGATTCTGGACTGGGTTAAATCCCAGTGAGTAGTTTGTAAATGAGAGCGAAATTATTCCATGTAGCTGCAGACTACAATAACAGCTGATGTTGTACACTATATTCATCTGTATTTGCTCCATGTTTCCCATTCACCTTTATTAAGCTGGTTCCAGCTTTTCCAACATGAGGATTTAGTGCTTTTCTCGACACATTTGAAAACATCTAATTCGTTTTTTTTAAAAGTTATGTTGGACACTTTTCACTAGTTATTGCCATTTTGTAGACCAGGTGATCAGTCAAATAGTAATCAACAGATTAACTGAAAATAACCTTTTAAACAGCCACAGCTCTGATCTAAGGAAACGCTCAACCCTGAAACTGTGTTGATCTGAGATGATCTGAATCAGGATAAAACCCACCTGACTGGTTTATAAATATCCCAAACAACTGCAGACTGCATCCCTGTACCCTTACCTGACAGTCCTGTTATTTTTGTCCAAATGAACAGACACACAGGAGACTGTCAACACAAACCTCAAAGACACATCTGTGATTTAAACGCAGCTTTTCAACTGAGAGGATCTGCTGCTGCTTTCCCGTGTTTTACATCACTGGACTAAAGAAATGTTCACATTTCCACCACTCTCTGCATTAATATGACACATAATCAACACATTAACAGAGCTGCAACTAATGATTATATTGATTATATCTTTTCATTTTGAACAGAAGACTGAGAGAAATGCCGTTAAAATGTCTCTGAGTCCAGGAACCTCGATTTGTCCACGTTAGTTTATGATGGTATTCAACACAACAGAAAATACATTGAGTTGAAAAGTGACTTTAAAAAGCTGCTGATATCACACCACAGCACCAATGCACACCTCTGTGACACAGTCATAATCAATAGGAAAGATTGGTATAAATAATAGGTTATCAATAAATATATTAATATTGAACCCTGATGTTTGCATCATATTACAGGTGTTATATTGTGTTTTATATGTGTTTGGAGCTGAAGCAGCTGATGCAGTAAACTGTATTATGACCTTTCTCTTGTATGTTTAACAGGGAGGATCATGTATGATGCTCTATGGATCTTTCACGGTTGAGGCTTCAGCGGTGCGTGACGTCATCAGTGATACCACCGTGATAACAGAGCACAGAAGATGGACACGAGCCGAAATAATCCAACAAGGTCAGTGAGCTGTCATCACCGAGGAGCCCGCATCACATTTTCACAGGGTTACGTAACAGCAGAGCAGATTAAATCAAACAATACCATCAATACGTCACAATGAACCCCGCGGGCCTGCTAAGCACCGCACGCGCTCCGCAGCCCATACAGTGATGTTATAGGCTGCTGGTCTCCCCCTCACCCTATAGGACGGCACGGAGCTGCCCGTTATCTAACCACCTCCAGCCGTGTGCTGAGCGGGTCTTACCGCGGATGATGGCCGGCGGCGGTGTCCTTGGTGTCGGTGTTCGGAGGAGACAGGATGGAGAGCGGAGCGGCGGTTGGTGTAGGCGCTGCACAGTTCCGGTGATGAATGAGAGACAGACAGACCGGCTCTGTCGGTGATCCACTGGACACTCGATACGGACCACAAGCCCCGCCCCTCCCAGTCCCTACGTCAAACCTCCGTACTGGACTCACTGGAGCGGCTCAGCATCACTGCAGCCCTCCCCCCTCCGCTATCTCTCGTGTGTGTGTGTGTGTGTGTGTGTGTGTGTGTGTGTGTGTGCGTGCGTGTGGACGTGCAGAGACTTCTAAGGAGCAGTTGTGTAATAATATTACACGGTGTGGTATCAAACACACTGTGGCTCCCTGTGCGCGTTTTTTTTTTTTTTTTTTTTTTGCCGTTAAAAAACTAGGCGCACAGGACTGCGCAAACTGCAGCAATGCGTTATTTTTACTAAGCGCTAAACATCGGCAGCTGTCAGAGCCTCTTAAAAGCTGTAGTGAGAGGAAAATAGATGTTTCATTATGACTGGAGAGACTCTTCATGAAGTCATGAAGTCAGGAGAATCGGCTGTTTGACTCCTGGCTTCATCACTCAGTCATATTTACTCATCTTTAGACTCACTGGACTTTTCTTGTTTTTTTAATTATCATATTCAGTCTCCAATCACAGTTTGGTGCAGTTTATCTTATATTTTCTTCTTCTTACTATGTGTATTATGTTGCAGCAAAACACCAAAGCTAATTTCTCCTATGTGAAAACCTACTTGGCAATAAACCTGATTCTGAATCTAGCAATGAAAGGTTGGGTTTAGATAGGATTTGAATTCAAACACCTTTTCACCACATGAACCGGAGGATTGTGTATGTTCACCTTCTTCCTCTTCCTGCATGTCCACTGAGCTTCACTATTATCTGTGTGTTACTGTGATGTTGTAATGATGAAGACTGCAGACTGAGCAGGTGCTGGTGTCTCTGTGCAGACATGAATTATAGTAAAATCCTTTCACTTTCTTCAACACAAGATTGAATATTGATTGGATATTGGATATGACCTTATCATGTGTTCTCAGTCTCCTCCATTAATTCTTACCATATAGGTTATTATTCATCACTTGTTAGTTATCTTAGCCATAACCCTCTGCTCAAACAACCCCAGTTAGCATTTGTAGTAATATATAAACACTTAATAGATGGTTTATAACACTATTATGACATACTTGAATCTTTAGTATTTATTAATGTATTTGTAATGTGAAACATCTGTAACAGATGACTGACACAGTAAAGCGTCACTTTGGTCTCTCTTCTCTCAGGTCACACACACACAAACACACGCACATCTACGTGGATGTGTACAAACAGCTGATCTATGAGGATGTGTGTAGTCACTGTGGGTGTGGTCACACACAGCTGTGAGACAGGTAGGGACTCGATATCCATGTCGGTATATTAGGTTTATAATTATTATTTTGCCCCTTAGTGGAGGTGGTGGGATAACTGGGATGGTTTTTAGATGGAGAAGGGTAACCATGGTGATAGTCAGGGTGGTTTTACAGTGTGATTTATGTTGTTTTTGTCAGCGTAAATCACTGTGTGTTCATTTATTCAAGACAGATGTATTTGTACAGCACATTATGTATCATACACAGAGGTCTTTCAATGTGCTAGAAGTAAAAAGCACAATCAGAAAACAGCATGAAAACACATATTTTAAAAGGAGTATAATAAGATGGATTGAAGACAGTGGAGAACAGAGCAGTCTTTAGCTTCTCTTTAAAGACAGTTACAGTTTGGGCAGATTTGATCTCCACTGGGAGCTGGTTTCAGCAGCGAGCAGCATGGCACTGACAGATAGATTCATAATTAATCCCAAGGGAAATTCAGTAGTTTACACGACACATATAAAACACACTACCCACCACATGTAATAGAAACAAAAAAACACAATATTATACACTGGAGTTCAAACGAAACATAAAGAAATAACTGAAAAGAAAAGATGGGTTTTATTGATCTCCGGCAAAGAAATCAAAGTGAAAGTGAGAAATCAAGAAAGTAAAAGAAGAAGAACAGAGTCAGGGTCTAAAACAGAACTAAACCAATCTACTATAATGTTCTGATCTGACATAAAGCCGAAGCACAAGTATTTTACACACCACATTTAGTGTATTGTTGAAAACCCAAAAAACCCAAATAAACTCAAATGAGGTAAATATAAAATATAAATACAAAACCTTTAGATCTGATGCTAAGACCAAGTTCAGGACTTTTAGAATTTTGGATAATTAATCAAAAAAAATGTAATAACTTTCTAATTAATTTTAAACTTTTAGTATATTAAAACGTGACCTTTAGGCCAACAGACAAATTACATATATGAATTTAACATGAATCCAGCTTATAAACACCATCTACAGCCACATGTTGGAAAAAGAAAACACTATATAAACTGATCTGGACTGACACCTGAAACTGTGAGTTTTTAGTGTTTCATTAGATTTCATTAATGAAGTGATCCTTTACATTAATTATAAATAAAATAAAATACTTCATATAAATTTAAAGTACTTAAAGTACTTACTAAAGTAATTAAAAACAGAGTCAATACATGTATCAATAATAATAATGTTAATATTATAATTTTACATCTTTAGCCTAGATATAGCCTAATAAAATTTGATGATATAATAATAATCATTAGAGTTGCAAATTAATGTTTTTGTTTTCCTCATTCTATTTTTAATTGATAGAAATGTAAGATTGACCAGCTGTTGACCTCTGACCCTGCCACCTGTTCCGGCTCAAAGCAGAGGGCGACAGCTGGCCAATCAGAGATCAGCTGGTCAGAGCTCGTTTCATTTCTCTGCCCCGCAAACACAACTTTAAATTTAACTCCGATGAAATGGAAACGTGAGATGGTACAGCTGTACAGACGAATGAAGTGAGAGACAGGAAGTGACAGACACACACGTTTTAAATTAACTGTGTGATTAATTAAAAAAAAATATTATTCATACTTAGAGGAGATGAATTTGTATTTGTCACATTTAAAAATATTTTGAGTCAAGTGTCACTGTTTAATTAATCATAATATATAGATACAATAATATAGATATCACACTGTAATATCCTGTATATTAAAAATACATCAGTCAGAAAATGACACATACAGTACACGTGTGGAAGAGGGTTTGTCACTTACCTGCAAACAGGAAATGGAAGAAGCATCATTCCATAATCCATAAGACTGGTTTATCACATTAAATAACATGTTCCATTTAAATGAACTTTATTATTCATCTGATGAGTCTTCATGTCAGCTCCAACCATATATATCTTGTTGGAGGGTCAGGGCCCGTTCATGAGCTCGTACTGAGTTATTCAAGTTTTCAGTTGTGTATTTATACTTTTGATCCTCTTTCAGATCAAGTTCATCTGTTTAAGATAATGAAAACCCGCACACAGAGTGGAGAGCAGCAGCCTGTGTCCGTCTCAGTGCAGGTGAATCTGGTCACAGGTATCACCTTGAAATAAGTGTTTTCTGTGGAACAGCAGCAACACACAAGATCTTCACCTCAGACACCACACACCTTTAATGTGGTCCAAACACGACACAAGGCTGACACAGTGACAAACCAGCTGCACAGAACAGAACACGAACATTAGGAACACGAGGAGCATGGGAGAACATGACCAGGAGCAAGAACAGACGATCTGACAGAGGCTGGGGACAAAGGGCTGGGATAAGATGAGAGCAGGGAACAGGTGGGGGGAGATCAGGTGACTGCAGGGCTGACTGGGGAAGTGAGAACAGGAGAACAGGTGTGTGGATGGGCGGGGCCAACAGGTGAGCGGGCACAAGGAGAAGAGTCTGAAGGGAGAAACAGAGGCAGGCAGGAGACGAGGTGGGGTGCAGGGTTGGGGGTGGAGGGCGGGGGGGGGGGTGCTGGAGCAGAGCTGAGGACATTCACCCAGTTTGAACTGATGTATTTACATGGAGACATGTCCTCATGTGGAGTCAGTGTCTCTGCAGCTCTGATGAGGTCACATTGATTATTAAGTAATGAAGTTAACTGGTGGGCTGCATGGGTCGGTTAAAAACGGTGATGTTCTTCAGACTGTTCACATCTCACTGATGTCAAGCCTCAACATTCATGTGTGTATCTATACTAATACTCAGGCATAAAACTACACCAGCACCAGACCACATGGACTTACAACACACCACAGATCCAGAAAGCTGCTGATCCATTTAATGTTAATACAAAAAAATTCCAAAAATAAAGATCAACTCAATCAGATCGTCAGACCTTCACTGTGTACAATAATCGCTCAAAACATTTACTATATACAACAAGAGAAACCAGAGAGTTAGAGTTCATCTTCCATCTTCAGGGATTTCAATTACATTTTAAATTTACATTCTTAAAACATCATAATCAGTGTGCAAATTATACAATGACAATCGGGGGGGGTACACATGGATTTTGATATTGTTCTGATATTGTTCATGGCCCAAAATGTATCTCTACAACAATTAACCCTCAATTGTCTCACTGCTCATGACTGAACACCAGTGTTTGCTAACATTAGATCATACCATTCTATATCGCTAATGAAATGATAAGCTAACACTGGAAATGAAAGGGTGCACTATCAGCTAGCTAACATTAGTTTGCTAAACTATAACTTATGGATAAGTTAGAAACTAGCTAACATTAGCGTTCATCCGTAGATACTTGACACAAACTAATTTAGAAATTCTGAAGGTAAGAAAGTAGATAAAGAGTATTAAACAAGCTAGATAGTTAGCTACTGCACTTAGATCTACCTACAGTGACCCAATGTGCTTGTGCGACACACATGGGCAGAGACTTGAGGACGGAGCCACTGACAGAGTGAGGCAGGCAGACGAGATGTTAGAAATGGTATGGTCCACTTTAGGAGTATCTGAAATCGTATCACAAGATTCCTCCAGGCATCAGTATGGGAAATATATTGTAATAGTTACAGTTAAAGGTAAATCCACCTCTTTTGCGGGGGTCCAAGTCTTAAGCAGGAGTGTCAGACCCCCCTCATAATTCAAACCCTGATAATTTATACAGTCCAAAAAAAAGGGACCAAAACACAACTCACTCAATCTGTTATAGAATATGTGTTTATGAATCTTCAGTGGCCAGAGGAGAACTAGTTCTCAGCTGTGCAGCTATATATCCTTTATTGCTAGATAGTGATTTCTAGATTTATTTCTAGAAATGTGATTCATGATCAGGCCTCTCTGTAATATGCTCCCATTCATATTTTTTTTTTCAAACTCAGTCAGCAGCTGAAACTCTACATCGATCAGGTCCCTCTCTCTGTAGTTTATCTGGAGGTTTCCTCTGCTCGTGTGCAAACTGGACCGTGGTGAACTCCTTTGATTTTCATTATTGGAGAATGACGTGTGTTATATCATGATCAAGACGTCTAATGTCACTGAGCTGGTGAGTGAACTTCATTGCCATTACAACAAACATCATTAGGAACTTTATGAGCCTGCACAGTAAGTGAGTACAGATGTGACAGTGCTAGTGGCTTCCCTCTGCTGGCTCATTTACAGTTGAACCACTATTCAAACACCATCTGAGCTCTACTGCTATCTACTGATAGAGATGAGAACTGCAGTTACAGGTGTAAAGTCATCACATGATGATACTGAATAATGTTACAGCCTAGAAATGAAGTCACTAACAAACACACTGAGGCTGTGAGAAGATTTAATCTGTGTGTAGTCTTAGTTAGCTTAGCTTGCTAATGTTATTGATGTTATTATTCATTCATGTTGGTGTTAGCTGTCTCTCTCTATGGAGCCAGATGTGATGACAGCAGAGAACCTGGTTAACTGATTGAGAGGTGAAATTACAAACTATTTCTAGTGGACAGACAGAATATATCACCTGGTTTTTCTACATTGATTGGTTAGAAAATATTATCTGATCTTCATCTAACTGACAAATATAGACAAACACAGTTTCACTGAGCTGATATCGCACTAACAGTCTGCTTTCACTGACTGGACTCCAGGTCTGATAACTCCTGACTCCAGTGAGCTTCATATACACGCTATCACCAGCGACACAGGTGGCAGAACAGGCAGAACAGGTGAACCACAAACAGGTAGGAACAGACACAGATGAACAGGTGACAGCGGCAGGTATGTTGTATGTGATGAGGCAGCTGGGCTCAGGTGTGTGAGTGGGTGGGGAAACACAGGTGATGGCGGTGATTGAAGACAGAAAATGGGGAAAGAGTCTCGGGACATCTTGTGGACAGATGGAGGATTGCAGCCTCTGTTCCTTTATGAGAGGGATGAAGGGAGTAGAGGCTGCAAACATGTTTTTTCTCACCACTGTATTATGTAATTAGTGAGTAGTTACATCATCAGTCAGAGACAAACTTCAAGCTGGAAGAACATAACTGTAAACTGTCAGTGTCAGTGTGAATAATGAAATGTATGCTTTTTGTAATAACAGTTTTAACCAAGTTATTGATTTCATATGTACATGGGTTGTTATTAGAGTTTTTTTTATTATTATTATTTTTCACACCTGTTATTTTTTTCTCACCTGGATGTTGTAAGTTGAATAAACCTGTCAGAATAGAACAACATACATTTAAAAATTTTAAATGTTTATATATGTTTTTTTTTCTTATTCATTTCTCATTAATTTTAAATATCTCTATCTTCTCATTCTGGGAAAGTTGTCTCAGACTTTTGGAATCTACTGTTTATAATATCAACATATAGTGACAAACTTTACAACATTACACTACAGTAACATTTGCCTACAATATAAGCATAAATACATAAACATACATATTCTATGGGCTAGACATATATGTCAATATATGAAATTGTTCCAATTGTTTTATTTCATTGTGAAATTTAAATCTGTTTTTAATAGTATTTACTGCCTCAAATTCAGTTCTCTGTTTCTGTTTGTATGAAAACTTTATTTTATTTTATTTTATTATATAAAATAGGCATATAACAGTACGTTCTGTTGCCAAAAATGCGAATTCATTTGAAAATCTGACAAACATTTCGTGCCTAATATGACAAATGTGGAACATGGCAACCCTTTTGGAAACCACATCTCCCAACATTCTTTGCGCGCAGTAGTTTGACAACCAGCCAATCGGCGCCATGACAGGCCGGCACGTGACGAGAGTAAGTTCCTGCTGTGGCTTGAGGGAAACAGATCGACATTCAGCCGCGGGAGAATCGCACTTTGCGGGTAAGTAAAGACATTTGGCCGCGGTGAGTCCAGCTGCGTCCTCACTAAGTGTCCTCCGGAGGCGGTTGCCGGAGGTTTCTGAGCTCTGTGGCGGAGAAACAGCCTGAATTTCGGCTGGAGCGAGCCGCCGTACCGTCTAGGCCTCTGCTATTTCCTGGTCAACTCCACAGCTGTACCCGCTGGAGCGGCCAAGTTGGAAAAGTTCAGTTCAGGGGTGTTGGAGAACCTTTGTTCTCCCCCACCCTGCCGGTTCTGAGTGTTTAAAACCTGCTGTGAACAGAACCCGGGTCTGACCCTGATCTGCTGCCGATGGAGAGAAACACAGAGACACTGTGTTCAGGGCTCAGAGCTGCTGGACTGATCCTGAGCTGTCAGGTCCTGATAGTCTGTGGAAAATACCGGATAGAGCAGCCTGGGTTCCACCGTGGAACCAGTCTGTGAACTGGTCTAAATAAAATCAGTTCACTGTGGTTCAGCTGCTCTCTAGTCATCGTATCTCTCTGTGCTCGGATAGAATAAGCTGTTTTCAGTCTGTACATGTGGTGAAAGTGTTTTGGTGCTTTGTTGTAAAAGATGTTTGTCATCATCACTGATGCTCAGGTCAAAGGTCAGAGACTTCTGACACACAGCTGTGTGGGAGAGATGTTAATGAGGATATAATGAACACTGTATTCAGCTTGTGCATGTGTTTGTTTTGCTGCTGTGGCTGGAAAATTAATGAAAATATTAACAACAAAAAAAAAGATCGCTGGTAAAATGTGTCACAGTCTTTATAAATGAAGCACTGTGACCTCAGCCAACATCAACATCATGTTTATATTTTTTCAGTGAAAATGAAATTCTGATATTCCCACTGTAATCCTGACTCATATCCTAATATCTGTCAGAATGATAATAATAATAATAATAATAATAATAAAAATACATTTTATTTATAGGTGCCTTTCAAAGAACTCAAGTACTCCTTATAACACACAGTTAGAGAAATAAAATAGCAAGAATGAAATAAATTAGAATAAATATAACTGCATAAAACAAATATGGTCGCATTGAATGCCGGTGTTGGAGTTAAAGAGAACAGGCAGCTTTGAAGTTTGTGTTTTCAGGTGGGATTTAAAGATGGAAAGAGAATCAAAATCAGAATCATCACATCATGATTTTTTTTTTCTGTGAAACACTCTGACAGTGTGATTCTGTGCAGACTCTGCAGCCTGGTTCCTGCACCAGCTGCTGTTTCCTGGAGTGAGATCAATACATCAGCATAGTCAATATTATTGATTGATTTCAGTTTGTCACATATGTGTCAGCAGGGATCTGCTGCAGTACAGGAAACGCCTGATTCTGATTAATTAACGTTCGATTATTGTGTATAAGCGTTGTGTTTGCCAATTATCTTTTAAACAGTCTGAGGTGTCATCTTTAATGTGCAGTCACCATGGTTACAGGTGTCCCTGTCAGAACAGGTAGTGTTTACCTGTTCGCTGCTGTACTGATTTCCTTCCTCAGTACGAACTCACGAGCTCTGAAATAACCTGAGACACAGGAAGCTGTAATATGAAGCTCATGTTCATTTCGTACCAAACCAACATGAACCAGACTATAAATAGATGTGATGGTGAGGTCTTCACGCTGCTGTCAGAGGCTTTCACAGAATGAGGAAGCAGTACCTCCTGCCAAGTTTCATGTCTTTAATGTGAGTATTGATGCATCGCAGCAGGATGCTCAGTTCTCTCACAGCCTGTCGCTCAGCTGACCGTCTGCAGGTGATGCTGCGGCATCCTCCTCCATGCAGCACAGCTTCAGGGTCAGCTGGCGGTAGCAGCTACATCTCAATCCTCCACAGGACTGAGGAGATTCCCGTCTCAGCTGAGGCAGTGGGTCTCCATCCAAATGTAGAGCAGATTCTAGCTAAAAAAAAAACTATGATTTTTTTTTTTTTTACTTTTCCACCTCTCCCAAGTGAAAAACTTTTATGTGATATTTTATGTTTTATGCACAGAAAGAGGAATGAGCGTAAAAACATGTGGATGGAAACTCACCTGGTGACTGGTCTGGGATCAGTACAGCTGATGCGGTGTCGGTTTATATCCCCTCTTGGTAGCTTGAGCAGTAACACAAAGTCAGATTACCTGAGGTTAAGAGTGATGGTGCGTTTAAGTGCGTTCAGATCAGATCTGTCTGTGAAGGTCTCAGTCTCTCACTGTGTCAAACACAAACAACAACATTATAGAAAATAAACTGACTATAAAACAACCTCATGAATAATGATCAGAGTCAGTTATGACACAGTATGATGGATTAGTTTAAGAAAGAAGCTTAAATTAATTTTGTATTTCTTTCCCTCTTTTAACTACACTGTTCTCAGTTTATTAGGAACACCAACTAAAACTAGGGGTGAACAATATGCAAAAAAAAAAATGATTGTGAAAGGTTATATTTATGTCTCCACGGCAGCAACAGCCAGAGGCATATTGTTTCCGGGTTGTCTGTCCGTCCCATTCTCGTGGATGCAAAATTTTCAGTAACGCCTTGACTGAACTTCTTCAAATTTGGCACAAACATTCACTAGGACTTAACGATGAACTGATCAGATTTGGGTAGTTAAAAGTCAAAGGTAAAGGTCATGGTGACCTCACGAAACACATTTTGGCCATATCTCACAAATTCACGCACTGATTATGACACAATTTAACTCAAATGTCTATAACGATAAAATGAAGTGACAACATTTTATATCCAACTGGTCAAAGGTCAGCTTCACTGTGACATCATAATCAAATCAATAATCAAAAAACATGAGGTGGTAATTCTAGTTTCATTTGATTTTCACTGAAAATACATTTAAAAATGATGATGTGATTTTTTTTGGCGGTCTTGGTCCTCTACATCTTTACATTTGATTTGGAGGCCGGGGGGTCTCTGTAGCACCACAATCCTTCATTTATATGTATCTGCTGTTGTGACACATTTGACCATTTATCAAAAAACTGCAGCCTCTGCGATTTAGATATTGCACTTGGCCGTATTGAGATTTCAATAATATTTCAGTGAATTGTTGAGCCCTATCTAAAACTTATCCAACGGTCCTGCAGTAAATCCTGCTTCATGAAGGCTGTAATGTTCAGGTTTAATTGAAATTGATTTAAAGCGGTGTTGATTCAACTGTGTGCTTAGTTTGGAAGATGGAGTCTGAGCTGCTGCTGAACACAGAGGTGTTTCTCACTGATGTCATTGTGGTGGACAAAGTTATATTTTCATCCAGTTTTATTTTGGTAAATCTAAGAGGATAATTTTGTTGAGTGAAGTAAAAACTGACTTCTTCATTCTACCAAACAGACCAGGTAAAGAGATGTAACATGGGATTCATCATCAAACCCTATCCACTGACGTGCCACCTTCTTTAGACCTGAGTCAGTTTACCTGTCGCCAGGTAGAACATGACCCTGTGATGGACAGCTGTTTGATGTGGTCTTCAGCAGGTTTATCTCTGAGACTGAAGGAAAGCTTCTATTACACACTGGAGGGGTGACATTTGGAAGATGTGGACATTTAATAATAAACTACAACATGATTTATTCATGCAGCCCTTTTTTTTTTTTTTACAAAGTTACAAAAGAAATGACAGAAATAGTGAAAACAATAAATGAATCAGATCAAATAAACAGGAATAATCAGTATAAATAACCTAAATCAAAGATTTCTGAATTTAACACACAGGGAGGGTCTAATTCAAAGATGCAAGATGAGTTGCATTATGGGAGTTAGTGTATCTGGAGCTTGACTAATACCAGAGACTAACAGTCAGGGGGGTGTGGATCTTTGAGCTAAAGTTAAATCCTTGGTGTTAAACCGTGATGGTGTTAATAAATAGTTTTATATCACCCATCCCTACTTTCTTTAATCAGATATAATGAACCACAAACTGGTTCCACTGGTTTATAATTATCTGGCTCCGCTTTTTATTATCGTCACTTTACTGGAATCAGAGCCTGTGCATTCGAACACTCACTGAGCACTTTATTAGGAACACCTGTAATCCTGCAGATCCTGGGGCCAGTTTCACAGAGATATGTGAGACTGGTCTGTAGCGTTGGTCCAGTCTTCAGTTCACTCACAGATCAGTCTAATGTTAGACCGTTTCACAAAAATAAAGACTGACTCACTTTAAGCCAAAAACATTAGACACCTTACCCCCAGGCTGACTCAGGCCTAAGACCAATGTTACCGTGGTAACGATCAATTACATTTGCACTGAGCGGTGGCACCCAACCACAAAAAAACAGGAAAACATGGCTCATAATTTCTGGTTTGCTAACATTGTTATGGAGAGAGTGATGACAACAGAAAGAGTTTTTAGAGATCAAATCTGATGTTTATTGTTTCACTCTTCATGCACTCTTGTAACTGTTGATAAATTCCAAAAGACAAACATATGATACACATATTTTTTCTCCTACCAAAAAAAAAAAAACAATAAGTACCAATAAGAATACAGTTAAATTACCGGATTAATGAGCGGTATCGATAAAAGTAGTACTACCGTTAAAATCTTAATAATACCCATCCTTTACCACAACGGCAGACAACCACGTCAGGTTCCTCTTCCTGTCACCAAGAACAGAAACCTGGGGCTGTTTGCGAGCAGAGGACGGACTACCCAGTGTTAGTGTGCTGTTCCCGATGAAGTGCTCACTGAGTGCATGTCAGCTTTATGCTTGAGGTCATGTAGAAACAGAGTCGGGGTTTGCTTTTACACTGTAAAATGTCACAGTTAAATTAAATGTATTAACAAAATGAATTTATCCAAAGGTGATTGGTTTATATTGGAGAATAGATATCGGCTGATACTTTACTGAGATTTTAAGATCCTCAATATCGACATCAATGACCTGATGAATCCAGTATTGATCAGGTGACTTCAGTACTGTATTAGTTCTCATCAGGATCCTGCAGTAGAACAGCGAGCTGATTGGCCGGTAGGTTATTCACATGTTAACTGCCCTGGAGATGTGCAGCACGCCTTGTCATGTACTCCATTTAGAAGTGAACCAGCTTCGTTATACAGGAAGTCCAGAGTTAAGCCCAGAGTTAGCTGCTGATGTCACCTCATGAGGGGGGGTGGGTGGTTCAGCTGCTGCTCAGTGAACTTTGGTGTTGATGATGTTGTCACCATGTAAATAATTCATGGTAAATGAATAAATGAATCACTGTCTGTGAGTATGTGAATACTAAGTATGCTTCTGTTGGGTATAGCAGTCCTAACAGTCTCTCTCTCTCTCTCTCTCTCTGTCTCTCAGCCTGTGGAAGCCCCCTCCCTGAGCAATGGCCTCACCTGTCTCAGTCTACAACTCTAATGCCTTGGACACACACATCTCCAGTGTAAGTGGATTCACAGCAGCGTCAGAGAGAACTCACTCTCCTTCACTTCATTAGGTCATCCAGTTTTACATGGATTCATTTTTACCCATCAGTCTATAATCAGTAACTCATACTGACAAAGTGAAAACATGTTAGTAAAATCAAAACTTGAATCTCTCATTATTAAAAGTCTTCAGAGCCATGTCTCTAGATGATCCGGTCCCACAGTTCACCTGCAGGTCTGGACAGAGACCAGAGTCCAGTGAACCCTCTGTAGACCTCTGTGATAAACTGCGGTGAGACACAGATCAGGACAAGAAGCTCTGAGTGTTCTTCAAGAGAACTGTGAAGAGGAACAAGTCTGGAACCAGGACTCTTCTAGACCTGGTGTCCAGACAAACTGAGGAACCAGGTGAGAAGGACCTGGGTCCAGGGAGGAGACCAAGAACCCAACAGTCAGTGTAACAGCAGCAGGGACAGGGAGAGTGGTCAGATACAAAGAGGTCCCTGAAGAAAACCTGATCCAGAGTCCAGGAGACCTGAGACTGGAGAGCTGGTTCACCTTTCAGATCCACAGTGACCTGAAGCAAACACCAGCACTGCCGAGTCTTCAGGACCGGTCTCTGACTGTCCCTAGGTGTCCCAGACAAAGTCCACACCTAAACCTCATAGACCATCTGGGGAGAGACCTGAAGAGGAGAGTTCACACACACTTCCTGTCCAGTCTGAGTCTGAGAGGATCTGACAGGAAGAATCCAGGTCCTACGAAGAACTGGACTAAGGGTCTGAAGACTTTTGTGAATGTGTCTGAAGTCGGTGAAGTTGTGTTGACACACAGGAAATGAATGAAAAGCGAATAAACTAAGGATGAAGAGCGTGTTAATAACCTCATGGTGTTCTCTCCATCGTCTTCCATAAAAGGAACAGATCCATGTTTACAGTCTCATCTCAGTGGACACTGAATCTGACTCCGTCCTCAGAGGCACCGTGTCCTACTTTAGTATTGAAGACACCTCCCAGGAGACCAGCAGGGTTTTATTTCCTGTACACAGACTCTGAACTGTTTGTGCTGCTGTCTCATCTGCATGACCGACAGAGAAGAAAAAGGCTAAAGTCAGCTTCTGTGGGACTGGCTGGACCTGGACCTGGGCCTGGACACAGTCACCAGACCAGCAACAGTCCTCCCAGTCCTGAACAGCTGACCCTTAACAGAGAGCAGAGACAGCGAGGCGGTCAGAGAAACATTTATACTGTAAAGAGGATGATGACTGTGTCTCTGAATTAAAAAGTAAATGTTCAGTCAGGGAAAGTAGAATCAGGTTCATTCAGCAGTAACGTCAGAGGATCAGTGGTTCTCTGTGGAGACACAAACACTGGAACTATTAGAAACTTACAGCGACATGTCTGAGTTTCCTGTTTCCTGTGTGTTCCTCCACATAAACACTTTATTAATAGAACTGGTTTCAATCTTACACACTTCAGTTTTCTACTTTCGCCTGTTTTTTACTTGTTGTGATTTTTTCTTTATTAATACAACTTTCTGTGTTTGTGTGTGTGTGTGTGTGTGTGTGTGTGTGTGTATGTATAGACCTCCAGAGAGTCTCTGAAGATGGAGTTGTTAGCAGATGTCAGTCTGCTGCCAGGAGAGGAGAGAATTACAGGTGAGTGTTTCACTATCGTCTTTTTTTTTTTTTTAACCCTCTGTCATCAGTTAGTTTGACACGATGAAGGTCACAATAAATTCAAAATCTAAATGTGGCACTATAGACGAGCTAACTGTGATGGATGTCTGCAACCAACACAACTGTGCTGAGTTCGTGTTTCTCCTCTCGTCAAACTACAGAGCTGAAAATAAAGAACTAACATAACCCCCCTGTGATACTCACACACCATGAAAATGCTTTTCATTTTCAAGATTCAGCAACAAGAACACACTGACAGAGTGTGTGTGTGTGTGTGTGTGGCTGTGGCTCAGGGGGTAGAGCGGAAGGACGGTGGTTCGATTCCCAGCTCCTCCAGGCCGCATGTTGAAGTGTGTATGACCCTGTTCAGACCTGGTATTAACATCCGTCTCAGGTGATCTGATCACAGGTGGTCAGCTCTAAGTTCAGGTGTGAACGCACCCAAGACTCATTTAGGACACATTTGAGATCCGATCACTCAGACCACAGTCAGAGGTGGTCTGGGCCACATGTGTCCACACTGAAGGACCAACTACTCAACTGACGTCCTCTGTCACAGTCCGATTAGTCCCAACGCAGTTTACCTAAATACCAAAATATTTTACTATTTGAAATTGATTAAACCTGACTTCACTGTGGAGCTGTGAGCAGCACATTGATTCATCAACCCCTCCGTACCGCGCTCTGTCTCTTTCTTGCTGTCTGTCTCAATTCAATGCAGTATGCTTTATTGGCATGAATGTCAGGTGGACAATATTGCCAGAGCATTACAGACAATAACACACTCTCTCTCTCTCTCTCTCTCTCTCACACACATAAACATACACAGGCACATTGACAACGGACCCGTCTGTCAGATTGGATAAAAACAACAACCCAAACGTGTGTATTTGCATATAAAGCAAGGAAGTGAGATCTGATCTCAAGTGGTCACTGGAGACGCATTTTAAAGCAGGTGTGAACGGACGAACTCGGAGCCGACCTCTAGTGATCGGATGTGCAGGTGTGAACAGGGTCTGAGGTCTCCAGGTCAGATATGAGGGAGCTGCAGATCCTCCAGGTTAACTGTGATCCTGTGATTAGACTGAGGTGCTGGTTTAACACTGGTTTAATACAGGTTTAATGCTGGTTAAATACTGGTTTAACGCTGGTTTAAGCCTGTTTTAAGGCTGGTTTAAACACTGGTTAAATGTTGGTTTAACACTGGTTTAACACTGATTTAACACTGGTTTAACGCTGGTTTAACGCTGGTTTAATGCTGGTTTAACCTCATTAACCTGTTAATGCCAGGTCTGAACAGGGCCTGTGTGTAGTGTACAGCACTTTGACTGGTCGATGAGACTAGAAAAGCTCTACATAAGTATATATTGTGAAAACAACGGTTAGACCAGGCTGAAGCCTCAGGTATCACATTCACCACACACCACACTGTAGAGCCACTCTAACCCACCACAGAGGAGTGTGTTGTCTTCCTCACTGGGCTCACTGCTCACCAACAGTGACAATGAGGCCTGAACACCTCTGTCTGCAGGAGGGAGTGCTGCTGTGACACCAATAAGACTCAGGTATAAGAGAGAAGTCAAATGAATATGTTTGTGTGTTTCAGATAAAGACATCATCTACATCTGTCCATTCAGTGGAGCTGTGAAAGGAAAAGTGTTGATCACCAACTACAGACTCTACTTCAAGAGCTCAGACACTGTAAGTCCCCGTGTGTGTGTGTGTGTGTGTGTGTGTGTGTGTGTGTGTGTGTGTGTCAGGTCAAACAGGATTTTTCCTGGCTGACGATGAGTTGGTTCCATCCTGATCCTGTGAGCCACACCTTTAACTGACTCAAACGAACACTTTGTACAAAAAACTTATTTTAGTTCTGGTCAATCCAGAGGAATTTACAACAGGACAGTAATAATCTAAAGTTCAGGAGATGTCACAATGTTTTTGTTCTTGATTTTTAAGACTTAATTTAAATGATAAACTGAAGAAAAAAAAAATCAATGTATCAATGAAGAATGAAAATATGTTTTTCTTTCAGCTCAACTACAAACCTCTGCTGCCTCTGTGTCACATTTGCAAATTCACTGTCCGTGTCTAGAGAGTTTTAAAATCTGAACCAGCTGAATATTTGAAGTGATAGTGCCTTCACATTAAGCAGGATTCAATCGGTTCAGTCTGAAGGTCTCTGGGTTCACTGGTATCTGGGGTCTAGGTCTGGGGTTTCTCAGGTTGTATATGTATTAATTCTCCTAAATGAACATTCAGGGAACAATTCCATATAGTATTGAAAGCATTTTTTCTGATTGGCTGATGTAGTGAGCATGCATGCTTTTTTTTATGCTGACTGTGTGTTGTAGGATGTGGCGGTGACACTGGATGTTCCTTTGGGTGCCATCAGTCGGGTGGAGAAGATGGGTGGGGCATCAAGCAGAGGAGAAAACTCGTATGGCCTGGACATCACCTGCAAGGTGTGTGCGCTTTATTATATGTCCAATAGTCATTTAGATATTTACAGCAACCGTCTTTGAGCTTGAAATGTATATTGATATGCAATTTTCAGCTTTTATATACAAGCAGCATTTTTAATTAACATTTTAAAAATACTTGTGCAGTCCACCAAAACATTTGATATGTCACATTCTGTATAATTCACTTTTCATATTGATAACTGTTATACTTGACTACTATGAATTACAATGTTTTTTTTTTTCCTATAGCCAATAGGCCAATATTCAATGATAATATAATAATAAGATAAGATAAGATATTTCTTCATAGTCCCACAGTGGGGATATTTGCAGTATTACAGCTATAAAATGGACAGTACAAAAAAAAGTCAATATCAATACTTGAAAAAAAAAATAAAAACATGATTAGATACTTCATATGATACTTCAATTAGATATGCAGTATTTTTCATAATATTTTATTTTATTATATTTTTTGCAGTTTTACACAGGCTGATGAGTCTGACCCTCATTTCCCTGCTTTACTTACTGTCCTTTGTAACTTACTATGTGACAAATAAAACTTTGAGCTACTGTTTAGTGGCACCGTCACTTCTACCTGAAACATAAAATACAATAATATAATTGTATTGTTTGTTGATAATATTGTATATCGTGATATTTGTGCTTGATTATATCAAGATATTAAATTTTGGATATCGCCCAAGTCTAATATAGTCTATTATATTCACATTTCAATCAAGTGAATACTGTACAGCCTCTGGTGTTTTGAAGCCACTACATTAAGAGAGAACTCCAGTGATTTTCCACAGTCTGTTTCCAGGTGTTGAAATCTGCACTAGAAGAGTTACAGGAGTTCAGTGTTAAATCAGCGGAGAAGCTCAGAGAGTTTCAGTTATGAAGTCATCCAGAAATCCTGTGCTGGCATCAGAGCACACGGCAGTCACACATACTTCCATGAAGAAATGCTTCTCTGTCTTGGAACATTGTCTTATCTGTCTTCAGTGCTGTATTTGTGTGTGTGTGTGTGTGTGTCTGTGTTTATTGGTAGTAAATGTGTTTATCTTCTGTCTCCTCAGGACATGAGGAATTTGAGGTTTGCCTTGAAGCAGGAGGGCCACAGCAGACGAGACATCTTTGAGCTCCTCTTCAGACACGCCTTCCCCCTGTCACATGGTCTGGTAAGTCAGCGTCTGATCCAGTTCTGCCTCTGTCCACTGACTGAGGGCTGTTGGGTAGATGCAGACGATGCAGATGAGCCTCATTTCCTCCGATCATCAGATCCACACTGGTTGGATAAACCAGGGGGAACACCTGTTCAGTCTGTTTGAGAGGCTCCACTGTCTTTATGGTGAACATTAGTCCAGTCGTGAACACTCTGTGTATTTATAGCAGCAGTCAGCTCTGGCTCAGTCAACCTCCATCTGTTTCAGAGCCCAGTATTCATGCAAATGCTGAAATGCAGAGATGCAGCCCCCTCACACACCATGACACACACCTGCCCGCCCACGCCGCAGCTACATCTGCCTGGTTAATATCTGCATGTGATCAAATCTGTGTCAGAGCCTTAGTACGGCTTCTTTTATGTCTCTGGTTAAGGTTAAAAGAGACGATGAAAACCTTTTGCATTCATTCTGCTAACTACCTCCAGGCTACACTGGACAACAGCCAAGCTCTCAGCTTTATAATGGAGCAGGGGTTTGTCTTTTAAAAGTGTTTACAGCTCCTTTGTCTGACGTGTGTCCTGCGTACTGCTGCCAAGTGGTGCGAGTTATTTCAGGCGTCCACAGTGAAATAAAAAGTCCTGTTCATCTTCTACATAGACACCGACAGACTATAGGATGGACATGAAACGGTCTCATCTGATCATCAGAACAAAAATATGAACAACTGTGTTACATCTCAACATCTGGTTCTCAGATTAAAGTGTCTGAGTATAACTCTGTGGACAGTAGGACAAATATTAAAGGAGCATCTCAGTCAGAATCACTCACAGAGCTGAACATGTTGTTGCATGCTATGCTAACAGTAACCAGAGGCTAAGTATTCTGATATGTGAAAAACATGATAAAGCAGTTAGCAGCTTCAGGTCACAGTGAGCACATTTAATCTGACTGAAAACTAATCAACAGTTAATGTTATCATCAACTAATTGTTATAGTCACTGATGGAAGTTCCAGGCTCTATAACGTGAGAAGTTACTGCTCTTCTGTTCTGGAACATCATAAACTCAATATCTTTGTTTTTCACAAAATATTTGAGGATGTCAGACGTCTAGGGGCCCTAAATATATGTATATATATATATATATGTATGTATATATCTATATGAGCCCAATAGGTCTTTAAAACTGGCTTTAAGAAGAAGCTAAAAACTGCTCTGTTCTCCTTCATTTAATCATTTAATCTTTGCACTTTAATTAGATATGATCTGTTTCATAATCTGTGTTTTTAGAATGTTTCTCCTTATTATTATACTTCTCTTATTTCTGTTAATAATAATAAATAAGGTGTGTGTGTGTGTGTATATGAGCCCAATAGGTCTTTAAAACTGGCTTTAAGAAGAAGCTAAAAACTGTGCGTGCGTGTGTGTTCTGGGTCACTGTGATGCTGCTGTAGTATCAGTGTATTGTGTAAATAAGTCTCTTCTGTCCCTCTGTCCAGCCTGTGTTTGCGTACGTGACTCAGGAGAAGTACGGGGACAACGGCTGGAACATCTATAAACCCATAGAGGAGTTCAGACGCCAGGTGAGGCCCCCACCACCTTCTCCATAGTCACATGGTCGTGTCATCACCCTGGAAAACTGCCTGATGTGCCCATTGTGCAGTGTTAAAATGAAACTAAACATTATTTATTTACATGTAATAATCAGAGCGGTGGTAATAATCAGTTAGGAAGCAGGCTGTTCTGTGTGTTTATTGATCTCCACAAACACACACACACACACACACACACACACACACACACACACAGCTCTGTCCATGGTTCTGAAACAACACACAACACATTCTGTTTAACAGCACACGGCTTTGCTTTAACGCCAGTCAGCTGGTGTGGGTGTGTGGGTGTGTGGGTGTGTGGGTGTGTGGGTTTCTTTACTGTATTCATGGGGTTTGAAAACCAGGAGCCCACTATATTTGTAGGGTCTGACAGCCGTGTAGAGCCAGAACTGCTGGACCCCACGGGTTTAAATGACCTGGTTTTAGGCACTCATTTGTGATTGTGTGTGTGTGTGTGTGTGTGTGTGCACAGCGTAGTCATCGTGTTTTTTTTTTGTTTGTTTTTTGTTATTTACAAAGACAAGGAGGCTGATATAATCACGTAACATGATGGCATACACTACCAGTGTGACAAAACAACTGACAGCTTTTGTTATTGTTACAATAATGTGAGTCGTTGAGAGGAAGAGAGAAAAGAAGATGAAACAGGAAAGAAAAACACATTTTCTATTTTTTTTTTTCCTTCTCCCCTCCCCTTCTTCAGGTCTAGGTAGGAAACAGAAGACAGGTACTTGGGGTAACGGGGTGGGGGAAGCACACATTACTGGGGAGGTGGAATCAGTTTTACTTATGGTCCAGTGACATATTTGGTTTCACAAGCGTTTGGTTATATGCGGAGAATGCCAACATGAAACTATTGTGGGGCAAATTCTTTTTAATATTGATATAATAATTCTAATAATAATAAGAGAATGATATATTTAATACATACTAAGTGAGAACGAGGCCATATCACCAGCTGTCGATGGCTCTATTGACACAACTCTAGTCAGGACTTTACTGTTCTAGTACTGCTGCTGCTTTTTGATGCCAATACTTATCAATACTCTTATTGATATCCCTGTTTATCCAGAGTCATATAAAATGACTTTGACCACTAGAATATAATCAGTTCATCCTTGGTTCCCTCAAGGTGCTACTGACATATAGCGTCCATGAGAATGGGACGGACGGAGAACCCGAGAACTCTGTTGCTGACGTGGAGGCATAAAAAGAGCATTTACAGTGTTTCAGTCAGTGTCTGATGATGATGATGATGATGATGATGAATATTGTCTCTTGTAGGGTCTACCTAACAACAAGTGGCGTATCACATTCATCAATAAGAGCTACGAGCTGTGTGACACCTACCCCACTGTGCTGGCTGTGCCCTTTAAGAGTAAAGAGGAGGACCTGAGGAGAGTGGCCACCTTCAGGTCCAGAGGACGCATACCGGTGAGCTCCACACTGGTCTACGGAAAACCGAATCATGTTGTGACTAAAGAAGGTTTAAATCAAGGTCCACTTACTAGCTTTTACATGAAGTCTTCTGGCTCAGGGGAATAACGTATATCAGGTTTGGATTCACAGACAAAACGTGTGAATTATAAACTCTCTGAAATACTGAAATACTGAAATGACAGGAGCAGAAGTAAAACTGAGAGTCAACCTGTGTGTAGCAGTTTGCGTTTCTTGTTTTGTAGTTTGAAACTCTAGTCATGTGACCTGTCCTCACCTGACCTAGAAACAGAACTACGACAGTTTCTATTCGCATATTTGTAAACTCGGATATTTAGTTTCAGTCCGTCAGGTGAGAGTCTGTCCGGTCACCGTTTGAGCCTCGGTATGTCGATGACTGTTTCTTCTTCAGCCTGTAAACAAACCCCACGTCCTTCAGCAGGAGACTCTAATGAGTGTTTGAGCTGGTCCACAGGTTAACAGAGTGAGTCAGTGTTTGATCAGAGAGGTTCTATAGAAACTAGTGATTCAAACTGATTCACTGATGCTCTTGAACTGAAACCTGCCCGACATAAGTAAAGAGAAGTACGCTTTACAATCACAACTGTTTCCATTACAGCTTCCCGACAGTGACTCCATGTCCCACAATGCTCACTGGTATCTGCACATGTTCCCTCTGTCTCTGTGCCTCAGGTTCTGTCGTGGATCCACAGGGAGAACCAGGCCGTGATCGTCCGCTGCAGTCAGCCTCTGGTCGGCATGTCCGGGAAGAGGAACAAGGACGACGAGCGCTACCTGGACCTGATCAGGGAGGCCAACGACACCACCAAGCTCACCATCTTCGACGCCAGGCCCAACGTTAACGCCGTGGCCAACAAGGTCAGAGGGGACAGGAAGTCAGGGGTTAGAGGAGGGGGCGCAGCAGCTGGCTAGCCTCCCTCTGCAGCAGGACTCAGTGATGACGGTTGTATGAGAGTTGTCGTTAAAGAACATGTTGCCTTATTGTTGATCTCGTCACACGTGTGATTCCCAGGCGACCGGAGGAGGCTACGAAGGCGACGAGTACCAGAACGCAGAGCTGATCTTCCTGGACATCCAGAACATCCACGTCATGAGGGAGTCCCTGAAGAAGCTCAAAGACATCGTCTACCCCAACGTGGAGGAGTCCCACTGGCTGTCCAGTCTAGAGTCCACACACTGGCTAGAACATGTCAAGGTCAGAGGAGGAGTTTGCACATAGATGAATGAAGAGTTTCCATGTATAAACACTTTTCTTAAGATGTTTATGTTATCTTTATGTGTTCTCGCGCATCGTGTGTGCGTGTGCGCAGCTGGTGCTGTCAGGAGCCATCCAGGTAGCAGACAAGGTTTCCAGTGGGAACTCGGTGGTGGTTCACTGCAGCGACGGCTGGGACAGAACCGCTCAGCTCACCTCTCTGGCCATGCTGATGCTGGACAGTCACTACCGCACACTCAGAGGCTTCCAGGTCAGTTATAAGAGCAACTTATAATACTATATGTTGTTGAGGTGCTGGATTCAAACCAACTGAGGAAGCACAAAGCTGCGGTGGTTTTACTTCTAGAATAAAGCTTCAGTGAAATGACAGAAAATGAAGATTATAATGAACCTGATGTGATGAACATGTGTTGTAGGTGCTGATAGAGAAGGAGTGGATCAGCTTTGGACACAAATTTGCCTCAGTAAGCAACAATTTTACAGCTGATATTATATTCACTGCTGTTCAGTTTACAGGAAATGACTCAGTTCACTGATAGAATTTTTTTGTGTGTGTGTGTGTGTGTGTGTGTGTAGAGGATAGGTCATGGGGACAAGAACCATGCAGACCAGGACAGATCACCCATCTTTGTTCAGTTCATAGACTGTGTTTGGCAGATGACTAAACAGGTGAGTTCAACCACTCCAGGGAGTGTCACAGACATTTAAACACTGCCTCTCCATGCCCTGCTCTCTCTCTCTCTCTCTCTCTCTCTCTCTCTCTCTCTCTCCCACTCTCTCTCACACTGGAAACACTGGGAGTTTAATGGCAGCAGTTTGCTTTACCATGTCTCATCTGAACTAGTGTGAGTCACTGGATGTAGGCTGTTCCAGGAGGTGCTCTCCTCCCTCCCTGCTTCCCCTGCCCGTTACTGTTTTCAAAATCTCCTTCACCACAGGAAACGACATCAACCTCCGAGCTGCAGCCGAGACGCTGCACATTTAGTTTAGATGAAGATGTAGATCATGTGAAATCACACAGTCGACACACGTCTTTACCGTTTTTTGAGGCGTTTTCTTTCTGGGGAATCAGACATTTTAATGACGGTGCAAATGTTCCACCGAAAAAACCGCCCACCCACCCACCCCCGTGACGCCCACGGGGCTCCGTTGTGCATCCTGGGCTCAGTACGGCCCGAGATGACTGTGATTGGTTTATAGAGTGTTTTTCCCCCTCTATCAGAACGGTCTGTGAGACTACCTCTGAATGAACTGCCCACCTGTTCACCATGTGCTCTGCACTAGGTGCCAAAATACCACAGAGAAAGAGTCAGGTTCAGGAAAATACCAAACTGTGAGGGAGCTGCTGGAACCGGTTGTTGTGCTTCTACAAAGATAGGACCCTGAGCGGGAAGATTTCATTACCAGATGTCACTATTTGATGCTGCAGCTTCATACTGTCCCTGATTTTCCTGCTGCGCCCTCTAGACTCGCTGTTGGATGTTGTTGCAGGTCTTTTTGGTGCTGTGACAAAAACAGAATATCAGTCTGACAGAGTGTTCTCTGATCTGAGATGAGGCCGTCTGTGAACTGTCACTGCTGGACTTATTTCCCACCATATGCGATATTTTTCATAATATTGGGGGGAAAAAAATAGTTTTGCAGTTTTGCTCAGTCTGTCCTGCTGCCGAGTCCAACCCTCATGTCACTGCTTTTCTTACTGTACATTGTACTTTTGCATGTGACTAATAAAACTGAAACACCTGAGACATCAAATACAATAATATATATTATAAAAATAAAAAAAACACCTGAACACCCCCGTGATAATATCGTGATATTCAAGCTGGACTGTTTTTTTTTTTACAAGTGCAATTTTGGATATTGGGTGACTCAATAGCTGAGTGGTTAGGGTGCATACCACGTGAGTGCAGATGCTCTAAGCAGCGACTCCCCGGTGTGACGCCCAGCCCACCAGACTCTTTGCTGCATGTCATTCCCCTTCTCTCTGTCCCTCGATTTCCCGTCTCTAAACTGTCTTGTTGATGAAATGCACCAAAAAATAACATAACTAATAACTCAATTTTTTGGGATATTGCCTTACTAAGTCTACTAACTGGTGAACTCTTGTCTCCTCTCAGTTTCCTACAGCCTTTGAGTTTAACGAGCGCCTCCTGCTGACAATCCTGGATCACCTCTACAGCTGCCGCTTTGGGACTTTCCTCTACAACTGTGAGAGCGCCCGAGACCAGCACGTAAGACCACCTGGACCTTTAACACCTGTCCTTCCACATATACACAGCAGACTGCACTGTATTTCCTCTGCGCATGTTTGACGCCCCCCCCCCCCCCCTCTCTGTCTGTGGTCAGGAGGTGAGGTCAAAGACCGTGTCTCTGTGGTCTCTGGTCAACGGTAAGATGGACATTTATCTAAACCCCTTCTACACCCCCGAGTCCGGCAGAGTCCTGTACCCCGTCGCCAGCATGCGTCACCTCGAGCTGTGGGTCACATACTACATCCGCTGGAACCCGCGCATCCGACAGCAGGTAGGAGACCCACAGTGCTTGTTATAATGTACCCTCAGGGGCACAGAAGCCCCCTCCTCTCTGTGTGTCAGCTGGTTTGTAAGAAGACCAGCAGGTACTTTCTATGTCTGTCACCGGTGTCTTACCTGTTCATATCTTTGGCAGTATTTACCTTTATAAATGTGAGATTAATTTGGCTAAAACTAAGAACATGATCATTCCAAATTTTAAGTCCATCATTTTAATTAATAAACAATTAAGCAGGCATCACAAATTATTCACAGTAAATACAGTTAATACAGTAAGTGTGTGTGTGTGTGTGTGTGTGTGTGTTGTTGTCGTGTCTGTGTGTGTGTGTGTGTGTGTGTGTGTGTGTGTGTGTGTGTGTGTGTGTGTGTCTACAGCAGCAGAGCCCGGTGGAGCAGCGCTACAAGGAGCTGCTGGCCCTCAGAGACGAGTACTTGAAGAAGCTGGAGGAGCTGCAGCTCTCTGACTCCTCCCCCTCCTCCCGCCTGCCTAACAGCCCCACCCCCAACACCCCCTCATCCCCCCCATCACACAATACAGCAATACACACACTACACACTCCCTTCTGAGGCAGTGACACACACACACACACACACACAACACATAACACCACTATCTCTCTGATATACTTGTTGACTTGCACTTGTGTCTTTCACTCTGATCTCTGTCTTACACACACGCAGGGAATGAATTAGTGTTGCTCAGTCTAACTGTGATAACTAAGGATGCTAATAAGACTTAGCTTTGATGGTTAACTCTAACACCATAGAGGTGATGGTGGCGATTTATGCAATATGTCACAGTACAGCCTTGTCACAACACATCTCTACACACACTCGTCATACAGTGAAGCCTTAAAGACATTCAGTGGCTCTCAGTACAAAGGGCTTGAACACACAGGACACACAGCGGTTGTGTATCACACAGGCAGCGCAGCGGGGCCGGAGGTGTGTGTCCTCCGTCCACCTCAATCAATTTACATCAGATTCCCTGATGAACCGAGGCCCAGCTCTGTGCGTGTGCTCAGTACTGAGGAAGTGTACTTATATAATCTTAACTCAAGGTCCACTTACTCACATTCTTCAGATGAAGCTCTGGATAAGGCCAGTAAGTGACCCTTGAGTTACGACTGTCGTACATTAGAGGTTCAACACTGAGAGAATTTTTATCTGTGCTTCCACTTCAAAGAGACGTGAGGGGTGTGGCTTAGCTTGCACTAGCTTTAGCCTAGCCTAGCTTAGCTTAAACAAAAAAAAAAAAAAAGATTATGATGCGGTTCACTCCAGGGGGAAATTTCTGTCTTTACTCTCAGAAATTATTTATGTAAAAAAAATTTCAAAACCTTTAAAGTCACAGTGAAATGACACATTCACATAATAAGCTACTGGATGTCTCAGTCTGTCTGCGTCTCTCAGAGGGATTTAAATCTTTCAGATATGATTTGATTGCTAAATAAGTGTTTGAGGTTTGGTGAAGACAGCAACATGATACAGAGCTGTAGAGCAATGGTTCTCAAAGAGAGGTCTGTGGATTCCCCGGGGGTCCCTGAGGTGGTTCCTGGGGGTCCCCAGCAAAAAGGCGAATAATTTATTTTCATTATAATACCATCTGTAAGTAACACAATGACAGAATGTATGAATATTTTGGTTTCAAGCACTTTCTGTAATAAAACGTAAAAAGTAAAAATCTTATCAGACGGCGGTCTGTGGTCTAATTTGCCACTGCTGTAGAGAGCTGCAGACTGTTGGCATCCACGACTCAACTTTATTCATACAGCACCTTTCATACAAACATGTAGCCTGAAGTATTTCACAGAGCAAGAGTAAAACAACACACACACAAAAAAAAGATGTGCAGATTAAAGATTTACTACAATAAAACAGTAAAATGATGAATGAAAGTCAATAAACATTTTGATTAAAGTGATAAAACCATAATGATAAGAAGTAAAAAAAAAATTAAAAAAAAACTGAAGCAAAAGCTCTAACATTATTCTGAATTAAAATCAGATCTGGATCACATGTTGTTGGACCAGCAGGAGAAGAATCAAATGATCAAATTAGTCCTCAAATCCAAACACACACCACCTACTGTCTCCTCCTGCTGTCTGCCCACACAAGCTGTTGGTCAAATTCACTTTAATATAATGTTCAGGGTTACCTAAATAAATTAGCGTAACCGCCCCCGAATTCAAGATGAGTGATTGAAATGTAAATGCAGCGGATCAGGTGACACACTCAGCCCGTCTCTTCCTGCCTTCGTCCTGCTGCACAGCCGCTGGTGTCCTCTGTGAACAAAGCGTAATGCTAATCAACATGTTCTACAACTCTCACTTCTCACACTTCTTCCTACCTGCTGCACTGAGTGTTGGCCTATCCCATGAGGAGCAGAGGCTGCAGAGCTGATGCTGGAGGGTCCGAGGCCTGGAGCTCCTGCAGCGGAAGTCCCGACTCCAGCTAAGTGTATAAATCAGGTGTCGGGTCAGAGCTGGATGTGTTGATGTGGATGGAAGCTAGAGTTGTCTCTGTCCCGCATGTTCTGCAGTATTTTCCAGCACTTCCTAAGCAAATACAGTTCTAGCCAATAGGAAGAGTTTGGTTACAACCAATCAGTGATTTACTTTTATGAATGCAGCTTTGATACCGTTTGAAATGTATTTCAGGTGCTCAAGATAGTTTAGGGGAATGAAGTGGTGCTGGCCTCTGATCCTGCATCACCTCTCGTACCTTTATGGTCTCACTAAACACAGGCCCTGGATGGAGAACCCAGACCAGGTCCATGATAGCCTTACCATGCCAAGATGTTTGTTACCAGCACACGGTTTTAGGGACAGTGAGCAAAAACGGAAAAAAAAAACAAAAAAAAACAAACTCTTTTTGTAAATCAGCCTGTTTGTAGATATTCAAACCTCCCTCACTGAAAAATCCAGTGTGAAATCTCACATGTGAGCGAACAGCACACACGTGTCTTTTGGACAGGTGGTGGTTTTGTATCCAAGAGTTTCCCGCGTTTCAATTGGACATCAGGTGGGACAGTTTTAGTTATTTTACATGCACATTCTCCAGTTATTTGATTGGACAAGATAATTGTGTTGTTTACAACAACTAGTTTAGTTGTCTCTCCGCTCCTCTCTGCATCTTATTGGACTCCATGTTTGTAGCTTCTCCCTATACGTCAAGAAAACATGTCATCATAACTAATATGATGATGGGGAAGCTAAAAGACCTGTGCTGTAAACTTCAGGAAATTATCCTTGACTTCTGTAGCAAGTAATAAATCAAACTATGGAAGATCATTTCTGCCAGAAAAATGAAAAATAAATAAAGTGATAGAAACTGCAAAATAATTTTATGTTAAAGTTTTAGGGGACTGTTTTCAAACAATGACATATTTAATCAGTTATGTATGATTGACATTCTAAATTAAAATTGTGTTGTTTTTTATGAGTAAATTATTTAATCAGATAAACTAAAGTCAGTTTATTGGATTTTGTCATTGTTTTGATTCACAGCCTTAAAGGTATGACCTACTATCTCTAAATTCTACAGCACAGATTTAGACTTTTAAAACATTTAAGTGAAATAAATTTACGTAAAGTTCTACCTAACTAATATGTCATTAATTTTGACCTACTGTGTGTATTTTTTATTTTTATCCTTTATTATGATCATTTTACTTTTTTTCCTCCCTGACTCAAATGAGCTTCCATAAAACCCTCCAGTAGAAGGAGCTGAAACCCGACCTGTCCAAAAAGCACCTGCTGTGATAGTTGTGTGTTTGGGTTTCTGTGCTGTCATGGAGCTGGTTTCTACACAACAGTGTGAAGAGTCAAACTCAGGACATCACATGGACATCAGTGTGTGTGTGCGTGTGATGGAAACAGAATCAAGTTTCTCTGTTATGACAATGGAATTTAAAGATTTTTAGAAATAGCCTGATGAGGATTTTGCTGCTAACTCCAAAAGTTCCCCTTCTAGTTAGTTTGAAACCAACTGACACAAACTCAGAGGAATCATGGCCAGCATTGTGGTAAAACATCACGATGTCCGTACTGTATCACTCAATCTGTCAGATGATGACAGAACTGTTTATTTCTACCGTGTGTGTTCAGTCAGTCAAATGAGAAACGTCTGGTAGTCCTCGGCGTCTGGTTCTTTGTTCCAACCCGGGCCACTTGATCAATAACTGGGGCTGGACTACCAGGACTGAAGTGTAGACTTTGTGTTGCCACCACATCATCATCATCCATCAGAAAAAAATCCTGATTGGCGGTTCCAGCTGTGGGATCCATCACCAATAAAACCAATGAATAAGAACTAAACAAAGCTTCAGGTGTGGTCTAGGTAGCAGTTTAGCTTTAACGCTGCTACAGTGCTTTGCTGTGGCGCTGGGTAGATACACCTGGATGTCTGTATGGATCACCACTGTAGATCAGTCCCCCTTTCACCACAGGTTTAACATTGTATAGACACCTCTGTCACAAATGAGTTACTATTACAATAACCCAGCAGTTCTCTCTAAAGAGACCAGAGGACTGATAGATACCAAAAAACCCATTAGCATTTTCTCAAGACCACGTTGTGTTTACATTGACTCCTTGAGACTTTGAGGGTTTTTTCTTTAATTACATTAGTTTTTGTCAGTACAGACGACATGCCACTCTAGGCAGACCGTTTTACAGATATGCTGCCTGGTTTGTTAAAGTGCCCAGTGATGATGCAGAGTGTGAGGAGCAGCTGGTTCCGGGAGGATTTTCCCTCTGTAATTAGCAGCTGTGATGACGAAACACCCTTCAAAAATGAATATTATGGTGCAAAAACCCAACTGTCTTTCCTGTTCAGTCATGCACTGGTGTTCAGCAGACCAGCAAACCCTTCTACTTACCTGGGGTGAACATGGTTTAGATGCTGTCCTGGTTTGAACTTTAACCTGCACTTGTTTTTAAGGTTTTTAAAAAGCAAAGTCCCCAATTTCAAGCTGCCGTTATCAACACAGGCAACAAGATTTAAGATTGGTGATTGGATATTTCGTACCAAAATGCCCATTGGGAGTTCTTGTTAGCTCCACAGAATTTGAAGCTTACTTCTGGAACCATGGATACTTTATAAAGCTCCTCCCACTGTGCTTCTCTACAGTATCCCTGAATTTAAAGTCAGCAGCCTTTGTGGTGAGAGAGGAATTGGAGTCAGGAAGACACGGAAAAACCAGCCTAGACTCCAGCTGATTGGATTTCCAGCAAGTTGGAAGCAGTGATGATGATGTATTGTACGTGCAGTGCGACAGTTTCAGTTGTGAATGAGGTGTAATAAGTCATTTTGTGAAGTGCGTCAGGTCATGTCCAGATTTGTGCCTTGATTCTTGAGAGAATCACCTTCTGTCATGTTTGAGCTTGACTGCTGTGGTGCTGGTTCCGGCCTCGTACGCTCTGATTTGGGACAATGCTTTTGGTTTTTGGGTTTGTTTGAAGTGGGATCAGGTGGGAGGTCACTACAGGAAGTCCTCTGGTAACAAGGTTTACCTGGGCACCTCTACCTGCATTAAAGGAAGCCTCTCCTTATCCCCCTGAATCCTGCACTGTGTGGGACAGGAACAGATCAAGGAAAACTGCAAACTACCTGATCTTTAATGAACCCTGTTGGTTAATACATCATGACCTTTTGTTACTGAGCAAATATCAGTGTCAACGTACCCTTTAACTGTCAAAGATGTCAGTTCCACCCTTTAAAGGTACATTCCCTGACTGTTCTAGGACCCACAGGGTTCTCAGTTGAGTTTCCAAACTTCAACATTGACTGGGAGAATAGTTAATAGTAGTGTTGGTTGCAGAAGTTATGTTACCCTCAAGGCAGAATTGACCTTTAAAAGCAGAAGTGTCATGGCAAGAAGTTTCAGTGTCTCACTTCAACATAAATGAGGCCTGGTCATGGGAGAACTTTACTCTTGTGGATTGGATTGGAGAAAGAATCTTCGACCATTTCTGTAACTTTCTGAAACCAACAATCCAATGTTCACATCTGCTTCACCGTGATTGGCCAGCTGGGTTGAGGTGAGAGAGGGGGCAGGGTATGAACTGCTTTTCAAAAATACCAGCACAATTGTACAAAGTAGTCATTTTCAAGTACAACCCATCCCTAGTCCTTCCAGATATCAACCATACGCATGTAATTCCATGGATTGGCCAGCAGGTGTCGCCAAAGCCGTCCATCATCACTGGGGGAAACTTGAACAGAATCAGGGGTGTACCTAGGTGAAGTCTGAGAGGAGGGGCCACCTGCGAGTACGTCAGATCTCAAACATGACCTCTCTGCGGTGGAGTGGGTGGAGTAGAGAGAACAACCTGGTTCCTGTTCACAAACAGGTGAATTTGTGTCTGAGGTGAGGTTTGGTCTCACTGAGGAGGGTCAGAGGTAAAACAGCAGAGACAGCCACTTTAAACGTGTGTTGGTCGGGTGGTTGTGTTTTTAGGGGAAAACAGATGAAAATCTATTTTTTTTATTTTTTACTTTGTACAAGCACCATGATGTAATTACCTCAATCAAAACCTATTTTACTGTCTAAAGTTCTATTGTTGTAAAATACAATTATTTTGTGTAGTGTAAAATCTTACAGTTTTATAAAAAAAGGAAAGTAATGTTGGTTCAGAAATTGTTGGTATAAATTGTGGATTTCTGCTCCATTGGGTAAATGTTTTCTTTTTGAGGAATAATTTTTTTTTTTTTGTTTTTGTTTTTTTTTGTACTTGCTAATAACCCAGGATAAAAGGCAGAAGCTTCTGGATCTGTTCACTTGTCACAGACCGTTGACATCTTCCTCTCAGTTCTCTGATGGTCTTTAGATTCACTCTGGCTCTGTGGTAATGAATCTGACAAGTACCTGTGTCGTTGTTCATTTCAGTTTGACTTTCATTAACATAGCGGATTGTAGTTTGAGGGGTTTGTGTCATAATATAGCCTGCTTTCTAATGAATACACAGGAAATGTGTTTCAGCATCTTTTTGGTCTCAGCAGAAAGATGGAGTCAGAGCACATTTCACATGTATGTCTTTTAATCATGTTATATCCTCTCCACAGTTTGTTGGATAGCTCCTGTTATGTAAATATTACTGATTAAATTAATTTAAGTACGTCTGTCTCTGGCTCTTTGTTTGTTTGACTCAACTGTGATCATGTCTCATATCATTCAGACTCATGTACAGTGACCCAATAATAAAGCTAAACATCCCTCACAGCCACTTAATGGATTCATTAGTAATACTTTATAATAAAGCACGGTTTATAAAGGGTTTGTAAGGTATAATTAGTGGCATTTTGAATTGTTCAATCATTTACTCATGCATTATAGATCAATTATGAGACATTGATAAGAACTTCTGGGTTGCCAGGTAAAATCTTACATCTCCATTGTGACGTATCCATAGGACTCTCATTGACTCTTTTTTATTAGAAATGCAGGTTATCCCATTCAGCTCATCAATGCATCACCGCGTCAACTAAAGAAAATATATAAACATTGGAATTGGTGTGAAAGCAGATGAAATACATGAACTGCTGTGAGAATTTCATTGTTTTCAGATTTTCATTCAGCAACTTTGCTAAAGCAGCTGAGAAAAGCTGTGAGTCCCTTGTCTCATTCTAGTCCTCTAAAACATGTTAGGACCTCACTGCAATTAAAATGAATGATATCATTTCTGCATTCTGATCAGATTTGTATAAATTTTGCCTTAAACTCTATGAAGCCCTGGAAGAGGAATCTTCCTGTCCTGAGGTTTCCATCCATCTGGCAGGATTTGCCCAGGTCGAATCAAAACCTCATCCATGCTGTTTAAGATTGTGTCTCATAATCACAATTTTCATCAATATTCAGTCCAATATTCAAAATCTTCTATTAAAAAAAAAAAAAAAAAAAAACTTCCTTCAATGCTTTGAGTTCTTTTATGGACTATTTTCTCTAACTGGCCTCCTGTGTTGTGGGAGAGGACTCTTCACTTGGGTCAGGTGAGTTCAGATCCTCTATGACACAGTTTGTAGACTCAGTTAAAACAGCAGTCTTGTGAGTTCAAGGTGATGAAGCTTTATTGCAAATAAAATCAAAAAACACAGCAACAAAACCTGGTCCAGTCCTGGGACTGAACTGAATTGTCTCAGTTGTGAACTGATTTTTGTATCATCTCTACCTGGACACCATTATCTCATGTTCTGGGTACTTGATGTCAGATGTTCCTCAGTTGTTCATTAAAAGGTTAAATATCAGTAGCTTCCCACCGATTCAGTTCTATGTTTGACTATATCCTGAAGTGTGCAATTTGACCACATACACCACCGTCTTCTAGCATAATAACTAATAAATCACTATACTTTTGATTAAACTGGCAATAAATAGTTACACATGATCATATTTTATTAGGTAAGTAAACAAACATGAACACTCATGAGTGATTAAAACTAAAAATAATAAGTGACACATGAGTAATAATATTTCCCTGTGTCTTTTGTGTCTGTAGGAGGAGAAAGGAAGATCTATAAGCTTTTGTGTCTGAATGGGAGCAAAACCCACATCTGGTGGAGGAGACCAGAGGTGGAGGCTGTCACTGCAGCACAATAATGCCAGTGGGTGGTGTGTTCCACATACTAGTTCATTTTAGATCCATTGCAGCTGAGACATCAGAAATGTTATTACAGTGCAGCTTGATTCAGGGTGAATTAATAAAATTGCTGTGTGGATAGAGACTGGTTTATTATCAAACTCTGAGGCGTTGTTTGCTGCAGTGTAAATGAGCAAAGACAGCTTTTTAACGGCGGTACAGCGGGATCTCTATATGAAAGGTTGCATTGAGTTTCACATTAGAATCCACATCCTGTAAGAGGAAATGAGCACACAGCAGTCGGACTAAACCACATCTGTGTCCAGCTGTGACCATGAAACCAGATGAGAAGCTGCAGCTGGCTGGACGTGTCAGGACCGTGAAAGCGGGTCCCCACTCTCATCCTCCCCATCCTCTTCATCCTCTTCACCCTCCATCTGTGGCGGGCTGTTAGTGGGCGGGGCTACAGAGGGAGGAAGAGATGCGAAAGAGTCAGTGAGGAGGAAGAACAACAACCAGAGGAGAGGAAACCATACAAACACACACACCGTCCCGGACCTTACACAACACACACACACACACACACACACACACACACAAACCCATACAGAGGGCGGGTACTGGATCAGACCCAGCTTCACTTCATCCTCATCCACATACCAGAGGAAGTGGACCTCCCCCGCCCCTACTGACCCGGGGAGTCAACACTGATGGAGAAACAGGCCGGAGCTGCCGGAGCTGCCGGGGCGGCGGACGGAGCAGGGCCCAACAGAAAGCCGTGGAGCTCGACGACCTGCGGACCAGCGGCCGGTGAGACTGTGGAGAGGTGAGCAGGCTCCGTGTGACAGGAGGATGTGAAACTTCGACGTCTAACTGTCCATTTATTATGTTATATTATATTATTATTATCCTGAATGAAGAGGATAATATATCTGTCGACACAGTTTACACACAGTAACGTTTATTTATTGAAGTTTTAAAACGAGTCATTTCCAAAGACTAAATCAGCAGATTTGTAGCTGGAGTTTGGTGTGGCGGAACAGTACAGGAGCTTACGGTGTTATCTACATCCCAACACCGTAGAAGAAGAAGGGTAAGACAGGCTAACATAAACAGTGGTCTACCAGTTGCTAACAGATAGTTAGCATTAGCAGCTAGCGGTGGTTAGCGGTAGCAGCTCAGTATAACAGACCTGTAGCTAGTAGTTACAACTAACTCAGTTAGCTCAGTATGATCAACTGTGGTTGATGCTAATGTTTACAGATGTGTCCGTCCAACAACTCTCAATTTATTGACATACGGTTTTACAGTAAGTGACATTTTATTAAAATAAATAAGTAAATAAAATCAGTTAAATCATCTGAAGGTAGAAGCTTCGAACTGACACCTGGAGACTCACCTGGACCTGTTTAATTATAATTTGATCAAATTCAGATTTATTCAAGAATATCATGTAACATCTTGTAAGAATAATATCAGATGAACTATTAATGATAAAGTCCTGAAGGTGTTCTCACTCATCAGCCTCTGGTTAGGATGACACATCCCTGTCTATCTAATTGAACCTGTGAAGGTAAAATAACTCACACTTCATTAGTGTTACTGGTACCTTAAGATTAGTGACCTCACATAGTTTCCAGTATAGCTCCACCAAGTCCAACCTGAGCACAAATCCAATCAGGTTCATTAAAAACCTCTGTGAGTTTCCCCAGGACTCTAAAACCAGGTTTTGATTAAAGCTATTCTTTAAGACTGGGCCTCAAGATTAGATACAAATACAGGAGCCACCTCAAGACCCCTATAAGGAGAAAATATGTCCTTATAACGTGAACTACTTAATAACATGATCAGGATCTAATTATAATGAGATTTTTTTTTTTATCACTAATTACATATTACACGATTGTAGTTATAACTTTCATTTTTATGGCAACAAGTCAACATGTTCAACTATAACAAGATGGAAAGTTGTTATAAGAAATTTCCACATAATTTCATATGATGTTATAAATAGAAAAACAGCTGATAGAAAAGTAATAGGCCGAGTTAAAGAGACTGAACTGCAGTCGGATACAGTGATTACAGAAATACCACAACACTCCCTCTTCCTGTTCCACCTCAAGGAGGCTGTTACACATTTACAGTTTGTTTCTGCAAAGAGCATGAGAACTGATCTGAGGTCAGTGTGAGATCATGGTGGTGACACTGGAACCCAGCAGCCAATCGGAATCAAGGAATCTTTAAGTACATTTATTCAGTAATCATATGACAGATTTTGGTGTAACAGCAAAGAAAACAGTGTGAGTGTGTCTAAGTGTGTATCAGCTGTTTGTGTCTCTGTGCTCAGTCCCTCAGGTTCTCATGTGGAGTGGTGTAAACAGCTGATCGCAGCCACCATCTCCAGTCAGATCTCAGGATCAGTCCCACCTGACATCGCAAACAGGGATAACAAGGTAGCTGACACACACACACACACACGTACACACGCACACACACACACGCGCACACACACTCAATGTGCTGACAGTGTTTCTCATCGGTGTGTTTTGTAACTGTCAGGCTGGGAGACGACCAGATTTCATGGTAAGACAGAAACAGCAGTGTGTGTGTGTACACGTGTGCTGTATATGTATATGTGTGTGGGCAGAGCTTTGTGTGTTATGTGTGTGTCAGTGTGTCACAGCTGTTGTCGTTGTGTAGATGAGCCGCTGCTGAGCTGCTGTACTGTTCTCCTCTGCCTCTGCCTGCCAGCAGCTGCTAAACACACATGTGTACAGCAGGTAGAGCTGTGACATCATGAATTATCATCCTGAAACCTTGGTACAGGAAGTTCAGTCCAGTGTGCAGCATGATCTGCTGTGGGTCAAACTCTAAACACAATAATAATAATCACTGCTGTATACTGCTGTATATACTGCTGTATATAAGTGCTGAATAAGCTGCTAATGAGAGACCATTTAAATGTACACTTACTGTAGTTGTCAGTTTATTAGGTACACCAAGTTAAAATTAAATCAGTCTATTGCAACTTCAGTTTGTGTGATCATTTCAGAGGCGGCAGTTTGTGGAGTTGGTGAATACACAGAGATGTTTGTGTCGTTTAACCTTCCCTCATTGATGGAAACACCTGTCTGTACATCCATTTATTCATTATAGATAGATAGATACTTTATTGTCACAGCATATTAAAACAACATGGAACACAATGAGAACCTAAAAGCAGACACTCAGTCTTAACCTGCTGGGTTTAGGAGAAGGAGCTATGACGGGGTATTAGGGCCACATTGAGAAAAAAAAAAAGAAATCTGAAATTGCGTGAATAAAGTCGTAATTTTCAGAATAAAATCGTAATATTTCAAGGAAAGTGTTACTGTGTTAGGAATGTTACTCACAACCAACCAAACAGGTGAAAAGGACAGTCAGTGGCAGCCTGAGCTGCTTCTGGCAGCTGCTGTTTGTCTGTCTAACAATAGAATAGACTCAGTTTCTTCACTATCTTTTCACTGTCCTGATGATGCTGATGAGCTAAAAAATGAATTATCTCCTTATTAGTGAAACCTGTGCTAAATTAGAGCTTCACAGGATGCTCCATGTTTCTCATTTTAAAGCTTCTGGTATTTCCTTCTCTTAATATTATGACTTTATCCTTGTAAAATTATGATTTTATTTTTGTAATATGACTTTTTTCTTGTAAAATTTGGATTTTACTCTCAAATTTGGGACTTTATTCGGGTCATTTCAGATTCTTTTTTTTTCCCCCAATGTGGCTCTATATCATATTCCATCATAAGCAGCAGAGTTAACCCTGCAGACTGCAGTATAATCACAGCTCCTGATGAGAGGACAGAATGATAATCTGACTGAAGCATCATCTTAACCTCAGGACAGATGAAGGAGCTGACAGTTGATCAGCTTTTAACATAATGTTTACATTAGTAAAAACACATTTAAATGACTATAGACAAGGCTTTACAGTGAGTTTGTTAAAGGGTCAGTGTAAAGGGTAGTTGTCCCTCTCCATATATAGTTTTGGTTTTATTAAGTCCAGGTGTGGAGATAAATGTCTCCCTCTGTTTCTGCCTCCAAACCCAGGACAACACAGGTGAGTTTAGTCCGAAACAATCCATGTAACAGTGTTTCTGAAAACACTGTTACACAGGTTAATCCACAGACCCCACTGTCTACACGCGGTTTCAGTCTGAGGGTTATTAACAGGTGCACTGTCTGTGGAGTGACTCACCTGCAGTGGATCAGGCTGGAGCCAGGACACAGTTTAGGGTTTAATGGATCACTTGTGTAGAAGCGATCAGATCTTCTCTGCTGCTTGTGTTTATGCTTGGCTGACCTGCAGCTCTCTCCTTGTCCTGCAGCAGCTCCCAGTCGTATCACTTCGCTTCTCTTAGTGGATTTGCTTTGGGCTCTTTGTGTGTGTTTGCTCCTGCACCTGTCACAGATACACACTCTGATGTTCTCAGTTTAAATGAGAGATGGAATAACAACATGTACCGGGTATGTTTAACCTCCAGGTGTCCAAGAGGCTGATTCCCAGGGTAAGAGCCTCAGTCTCATCAGCTGTTTATGGATAATACAAGCTGTCAGAACAATGTCACACTGCTACACTGTCACACTGTCACAGACACACTATATGTACTGTATGTGTCCAGACTCAAATATCTGTAGTTTTGATTGTTGTAAATGTGGTGCTGGTGTTGATGGGCTCCAGAGGTTGACCTGCAGTAACCTCTCCATCATCAGGTCAAACATTTGATTTGTCCAATGCTGTTTTTAGGTCTGTTGTTCTCAGGTTGTACACGATACCTCAGTAACGCCTGCACAGAACGTCTTCAGATTTGGCACAAACGTTCACTTAGACTCAAGGATGAACTGATTAGGTTATAATTATTATTAGGTTAGAACCATAAAATACTAACGATCGTCCTCCGGGAAACTTCTCTGCCAAAGATTGTTCGTGAGTGAAGACACGCCACTCTGTAACATCTCTCTGACCTCCAGTGATCGGCAGAGTGGAGACTCTCCTTAATACAGTATACATGTGGCCTCTGTATACACTGATACTGATACTGTGATTAGATACTGTCAGCTGATCAATCAGTCCAGCTGTGATTGGTTCTTATAGTGATATATTTTGTGACTAAAATAACCAGATGTAGTTTCAACTTCTGGATTCAGTGAATTAAAACCTGACCAGTCAAAGTACTGATGTAAAAAAAAACAAAAAAAAAAAACATATAAGAGTCCAGTATCTACCTAAATCAGTCCTGATCCGCGTGTGGAAGTGTGGAAATGGGAGCATGTACTGGGAGTGTGGAGCTCCACCAGCACAGACACTGGGCTCAGTGGTCAGGAACACCTGACAGCTCACAGGGATGAGGAGTGGTGAACTGTTTGCTACATACGGAATAATGTCTGCTGTGTAACGTCTCTCTCTCTCTCTTTCTCTCTCTCTCTCTCTCTCTCTCTTTCTCTCTTTCTCTCACTTTCTCCATGCTGGCTCGACCCTGCACCAGGATTTACATGATGAAGGTCTTTGTTACCATGGAGAAAGTGATTCTGAGCATCCTTCCACTGCTTTGGCAAGTCTCTCACTGTCTGTCCTTCCTCCTGTTTCCTCCCTCCTCACCCTGTCCTGGTCTGCATGCCTCCTCCTCCTCCTCCTCCTCCTGCTCCTCCTCCTCCTCCTCCTCTCTGCTGATCTGAATTCTGTTGGAGTTTTTTTTCAGGTTGGTCCAAACTTTGGAGTGAAAGTCAGGATTTTTCAGCCTCTGCTGCATCACTGTGTTTTCATCAGTCTCTCACTCGAGCCCCACTTCGCTATATTCATTATGTTTTGATTTATTTTGTTATCGTCTGACTTTCTCCCTTTAAGGTGATTTTATTACCACAGGGATATTAAAGGAACATACTTTTCATTTTGTTCCTCTGAGGAAATAACAACAATAAGACTTTTGGGTCATTTTTAAAAGTTTCACCAAGAGCTACACAGATTCAGAATCAGCACAACCTCAGCTAATTATATATGTCACTCAATAAAGACTTGTGTACAGTATAATAGGAGTTAGTAGCCCATAAAACAAGAACAAACAAAAAAAATCTTGAATTTTATAGATGAAAACACTGCAAAGCTTAATAATGAAAGAAAACTGAAAGTTGCACCTACAGTATTTGTTTGGGTTGTTCTAGAGGTGATCTGAAGTTATCTCTTCATGAGTTATGCTCATTCTTTCCCCTTGAAAAATTAGCCTCTAAATGCACTAAATATCTGAAATATCTGAGTGTTAACAGACAATTATGTCCAAACTTATATTTATTTAAATTTATATATTTAAAAATATTCCTATTATTATTTTACTACTAACTGTCGTCCTCTCTTCTCTGCTCCATGTATAACAGAACAGACACGCTGCTTTTGATTTTTGACATATAATTTGAAAACATCATGGACAGAAGTATTGGGACGCCCCACTTGATGTTTTTACTTAGTCTCTGTAGATCTTAATCAGAACTCTACTCTTCTCTGGTGGTGCTTTGACTGAACTCTTCCAGTTCTCCCAGCTGAGAGTCTCAGCTCTGTCCATAGACCTTCAGCTGGATTAGGACCAGGACTCAGAGCAGACCACGTCCTGGCCTTTGGCCAGTTCTGTAAATAAAGGCTGGAATCTAAGATTTTATTCTGCCAGAAGAGAAGATGTTCAGTTGTTCTCACAAACAAGTTGCTTTATTTATCAAATTATTTATTTTATTATATATTTACTTTGTGTTAACACAGTGTTAGATCCACATTGTTGTCTTACGACGGAGTGTTAGGGCAACATTCAGGAAAAAAAAGAAATCGGAAATCTTGAGAATAAAGTCATAATTTTATGATAATAAAGTCGTAATATTACCAGAATTAAAATGTAAAGTCTCCAGAGAAAAAAACATCAAGATGAAGTTTCTCCTTATTAGTGGAACCTGTGCTAAAGTAGAACTTCACAGGATGCTCCACATTCCTCATCTTAAAGCTTCTGATGTTATATTATGAGTTTTTTCCCCAAAGTTTCAGATCTTTTTCCTCCGTGTGGCCCTAATGCTCCGTCATATTGTTTCCACACACCTGAAGGACATGGTTCATTTTTCTTTGACAGGTTCAGGTTTCATCATTTTTCATCATCAGTCAGTTTGTTTTCAACATAAATACAATACAAGAGCTCCTGTAGAGAAAAGCTCACTGACAGCTGTTTAAAGAGTTTAATTAGTTTATCTAGTTGTGCTAGTAGTGTTAGTTAGCACTGTCTGATGATCACCCCGTCAGGAACATGTTCAGTAATACTAATATTGGTGTTTCTGGTCCACGTTGTGGTGTTGCTGACTGCTCTGCGCTGACTGCAGAACCTTCCTGCTCTGAGATACGGGGCTCAGGTCAGGATGTCCCAAAACCAGGTTCCTCTGCTGCCAGGAGAGACCGTCCAGACCACAGGTAACACATCCACACCAACACACAGCACCAGGAACTATCGCTCACATGCCAATTAATCAATACGTTGTCCTGCGCGCTCATGTGTGTGTGTGTGTGTGTGTGTGTGTGTGTGTGTGTGCGTGCGCGCAGTCAAGGATGTGATGTACATCTGTCCGTTCAGTGGTCTGGTTACTGGGACTCTGACCATCACAGACTACAAGCTCTACTTCAGCAGTGTGGAGCGGGTACAGCACTTCACTCACTCTTTACTCTGCAGTTTACAGCCAATCGCTTATTGATTCATTGAGTACCTGTGTGTTAAAGTCAGTGTGTGTGTGTGTGTGTGTGTGCGTGCGCATGTGCAGGAGTCTCCGTTCATCCTGGATGTGAACCTGGGAGTCATCAGCAGACTGGAGACCATCAGTGTTTCCACACAGGGAGAGAACACCAAGGGCCTGGAGCTGGTCTGCAAGGTAACACGTAGCTGGTCAACAAGATGGGTCATTATAATATCTGACCACATGTATTATGATTTTTAAATGAATTTCCTCTGCGCATCAGGACATGAGGAGTCCCAGGTTTGCCTACAAGACAGAGGAGAGTCATCCAGATGTGGTGCAGGCGCTGGCCAAACACGCCTTCCCCCTCTCCCACAGCCTGGTCAGTGTCACTCAGATGTCTTCTTTATTGTTGGATTGATTTGATGTGAGAGAACGTTGGGACAGAATCTGCTCGTTGGCTTTTAATTCGAAGAGGCTGTTCAGTCTGTGATGGGCGGGGCTTCATTTTCAGCCTGCGGGGGGGGGGGGGGGTCAGACTGCGAGGCAGAGCGGCAGGAGACATGGAGGGAGAGATGTGAGTCCCGACCCCTGACTACCTTAGTCCTGGATCACCTCAAAACTCACCCCCCTGCTCTGAGTGTAAGTCTAAGATTTGACAGGTCAGATCTGGAGGGACGTCATGAGCACCCAACTTCTTACCCCAGTGGGAGCACCCTGTGACGACGACAGGCCCGAGGAAGAAGTGATGAGAACTTTCAAGTTCCCAAAACTGTTGTTAGCAGTCCACAGGGATTTTATCATGTCGAAGGAGTTGTTTGATTCTTGTGTTTGAACAATATGAAAAAATCACGTGTGTTAGAGCTTTAGGAGGTCACACTATGACGCCCCATGGGGGGCAAGTTGAGCTAACAGACCACTTCGTTTTTTTTTTTGAGTCATATTTAGAAACCTGTGTGTTTTAGATCCACAGTGATTATTCCCAGGGACGCACCACATCCTGAGATATATCTACATATTTCAGTCGGAGACTTTAAAGACGCTTCGAGACCTGAGGAATGTTGTTATACTTTTTCTCCATGTTGAGAGTGACAGACACAAACGGTCACATCAGGCCAGCAGGCACAGCGCCTGGTGCAAAAATAGATCTCCGTCAGTTACCCAACAGTTACCCACGCAACCACTTCCTCTTTAGCCGCTTTCCCCACAAAATAAGAGCGTGAAAAACGATTGATTTTTTTGATTTTATTGTTTTTTGCTGCAGTGCTTTATTTCAAGCTATTGTGGGCTTTTATTGTTTTGTAGATGTGTGATATGAAAAATAACACAAGAACAGTCATCAAGACATCAAACCTGAATAAATCTGTTTAGAAATCATCCATTCAAACAGTCACCCGGGGTTACAGGAGGGAACAGAGCTTCTGCTTCATGGAAAATCCTCCAGATTATTTAGTTTGTAGGAACCTCTGCAGAAAAAAAAACACTTCAGTGGCCCAGAGGAAGAGACCAGCTCACAGACCAGCAGCAGTGACACTGCTTTGACTGGACTCCACATCTCAACAAGTGTACGGGAGGTGGGAGGCCGGTGAGGGATCATGTCACTGTCACTCGCACTGTGAACTAAACTCTCAGAAAAAGAAGCAGTTGAGGTTAAAGAGGGTTATACGTCCTCCTGTTCCTCTTCAGACTCCATCACTGGTGTACGTGCTGGTGTGTTTAGACAGTTTCTTCCATACAGTTTGATGATAAAGCACCCGAAGGTAACGTTCTTCCTGTGTCGTCCTCTGGCAGCCGCTGTTCGCCTTCCTGTACAAGGAGCAGTTTCCTGTGGACGGCTGGAAGGTGTACGACCCAGCGGCAGAGTACAGGCGCCAGGTGACCGCACAGCACCCGTAACACCGACTGGACAACACACCTGTCCAACACCGCCCATTAGTGACTAACTGATCTGACATTATAGTGTAGAACCTGTCGCACCTGTCTCCACCATGGTCTCATGGTTTCCTGCTTGTGGCCTGATGTGGTTTTGCAGGGTCTCCCTAACGAGAGCTGGACCATCAGTAAGATCAACACCAGCTATGAGCTGTGCGACACCTACCCCTCCGTCCTGGTCATCCCCACCAACATCGCAGACGAAGACATCAGACGAGTGGCCGTCTTCAGAGCCAAGCACCGCATCCCGGTCAGTCTCGTCCAATCACAGGCGGAGGCGGAGCTGTGAGTCGTTTTGTTGTTGTCCTCCTGGTTCTGATGTGGTCCTGCTCTTCCTGCAGGTCTTGTCCTGGATCCACCCCGAGTCTCAGGCCACCATCGTGCGCTGCAGCCAGCCGCTAGTCGGACCTTCGGACCGTCGCTGTAAAGAGGACGAACGCTTCCTCCAGATCATCATGGACGCCAACGCACAGTCCCACAAGCTCACCATCTTTGACGCCCGGCAGAGCAGCGTGGCCGTCACCAACAAGGTACGACGAAGACGCGTTGTTGTTGTTGTTCGTCTCCCTCGCCCCGCACCTTCATCAAACACTCTGTTCACGTCCTCCTCCTCCTCACTCAGGCCAAAGATGGAGGGTTCGAGAGCGAGAGTTACTACCCCAACGTGGAGCTGAACTTCCTGGACATCCCCAACATCCACGTGATGAGGGAGTCGCTGAGGAAGATGAAGGACGTGGTTTATCCCACCATAGATGAAGCTCACTGGCACTCTGCTATCGACCAGACTCACTGGCTGGAGTACATCCGGGTACACCACACACACACACACACGCGCACACACACGCACACACACACACACACACACCTTTGTTACACACACAGTATCAGTGTGTTCCTGTCTGATGTGCTGTGTGACCCTGTGCTGTGTGCAGCTGCTGTTAGCGGGAGCAGCTAAAGTAGCTGATAAGCTGGAGTCGGGGAAGACGTCGGTGGTGGTTCACTGCAGCGACGGCTGGGACAGAACCGCTCAGCTCACCTCTCTGGCCATGCTGATGCTGGACAGCTACTACCGCACACTCAGAGGCTTCCAGGTCACACACACACACACACATACACACACACAATCACACACACACTCTAACTCAACTACACACACTGCATCTGCATCTTATCTGTGCACTGTTCTAATGTCTGTGTGTGTGTGTTTCTGCAGGTTCTGGTGGAGAAGGAGTGGATCAGTTTTGGACACAAGTTCGCTGCAGTGAGTTCAGATCACAGTCATCATATACATATCCTCGAGAACCAACAGAACCGAACACAGCTGAACATCAGTGTTGATACCAGAGCTGTCGCTACACTGGTTTGATGTCTAACACCTGCATCAGTTTGTGCTGAGGTCTGACACAGAGACAAACATGTCATCAAAATATTACTCATGCACTTTGTTATGGCCCAGCCCAGGAAGACACGCATGGATGTATTTATTTAACAGAAATGAAAAAAAGCCATGCCCCATGTTCCTGTATATCAAGTGTAAACCAGAGGTGGCGCTATGACTGTGACTTCATATTGGCATGTAGATGTCTTCAGGTCAGGATTCTTATCAAACAGCTGGAGTTATAACAACGAGACATCAAAAATCACCATGCCGCCACAGGCAGGTCCCCCAGAGAAAACTTCACAGTTTTCACATTGAGGCATCATCAAGGTTTTTCTCATGGAAACAGGTGGAAGCTTCCTGTTTTGAGACATGTGAAGTGATGATGTAACACAGTCAGCTTGTGTCTCTGTGTGCAGTCATGACGACAGATGTGTGATCACCTGACCTCAGGTCTCCTGACTGTGTGTCTCTGTGTTGCAGCGCGTGGGTCACGGTGATGAGAACCATGCTAACTCGGAGCGCTCCCCCCTCTTCGTCCAGTTCATCGACTGTGTTTGGCAGATGACTCGCCAGGTCAGAGGCCTTCATCATCATCTTCATCATCATCATCATCATCAGCTAGCAGAAATAATAACCCAACACTGAACCCATCCAATCACAATGGTAACCACTCCTCTTCCTCTGACTACAGTTCCCAGCAGCCTTTGAGTTCAACGAGTTGTTCTTGATCACTGTGCTGGACCACCTCTACAGCTGTCTGTTTGGTACATTCCTATACAACAGTGAAGAGGAGAGGGCAGCCAAGGTATGTACCACTCCTCTGTTAACGGGGGGGGGGGGGGGCTGGGGATCCAGGTCCCAGTAAACCCCTCCGTGTCTGTGCCAGAGTGCAGACACGCCGAGATACCGACTGTTGCTCCCCGAGTATGGATCCGTATAGCATTTAACAGGTAAGATGTGCGCCGGACTGACAAGAGTGAGTGAGTGATTGACAGCAGTGACTCTGATCTGACTGTTCCATGTGCCCCCCCCCC